TCAGTGCTCAAGGGCCACTCCTGATGGGCCGGGAGGCACCGTTTGGAGCGCCGGGGATTGATGAGGCTGCGTATCAGCCTCGGGCTGCCCGGGACCCAGCCGCTCCCAGGAGCGAGAGCTGAAGCCACATTCCCTGGGCTCCACTGGGGCCGCTTTGTTTCCTTTGATTTCTGGGCCATGCCTGGCGGTGCTCAGGTTGCTCCTGGCTCTGTGCTCAGGGATCACTCTTGGCGGCGCTCAGGGGACCATATGGGATGTCGGGGATGGAACCCAGGTGGGCCAGCAAGACCAGCGACCTCCCCGCTGTGCTCCGGCTCTGGCCATCATTCCAGTTTCTCCGAGGACAGTCTGCACAGGGTTAGGACGCACCCAGTTAACAGCTACATTTGATGCGTTTCTGGGCCATGCCTGGCAGTGCTCAGGGTCACTTCTGGCTCTGCGCTCAGGGAGTCACTCCTGGTGGTGCTAGGGGCCCCTATGGGGGGCGAGGAGAGAAGGGTCGTCCTCATGCGAGGCCAGTGCCTACTGCTGTGCTCCCCAGCCCTCGTCTGAAGTGTTTTGATGATTTTACAACCTCAATTCAACCCAAGAACTTGTTCTCTCAGGAAACCCTCAATCTCTGGCAGCAGCCGGGCCGCCCTGGCCAGCTCTGACCGCAGAGGGGCCGTTGGTGCCAGAGCGGTGCCCCTCTCCTCCTGAGATGTCCCCTTTCCTTGTGAGGGGGTGTCCCAACAGAGTTGGGGGCCACTGCAGGTGACCCTCAGCCAGGCCCCCCAGGGCTCCTGCTGGTGTGGGAGGGAAGCCAGTACTCTCTGGCCCGGCTGGCCACGACTGAGAGAGGCACCCAGCCCAGGGCTTTCCTCTTCCATCTATTTACTGTCCCTCTTCCAATGATGTACTGAGCGGGATCTCACACACTGCCACAGTGCTCACTTTCTTGAGGTGCTCATGCTCCTGAGGTGTCACTCTCCTGACTGAGGTGTCACTTTACAGACTGAAGTGCTCACTCTCCAGACTGAGATGTTACTTTCCTGACTGAAGTGCTCACTATCCTGTCTGAGGTGTCACTCTCCTGACTGAGATGTCACTCTCCTGACTGAGGTATTACACTCCTAACTGAGGTATCACTTTCCTGACTGAAGTGCTCACTCTCGTGACTGAGGTGTCACACTCCTGACTGAGGTGTCACTCTCCTGACTGAGATGTCACTCTCCTGACTGAGGTGTCACTCTCCTGACTGAGGTGTCACTTTCCTGACTGAAGTGCTCACTCTCCTGACTGAGGTGTCACTCTCCTGACTGAGGTGTCACTCTCCTGACTGAAGTGCTCACTCTCCTGACTGAGGTGTCACACTCCTGACTGAGGTGTTACTCTCCTGACTGAGGTGTCACTCTCCTGACTGAAGTGCTCACTCTCCTGACTGAGGTGTCACACTCCTGACTAAGGTGTTACTCTCCTGACTGAGGTGTCACTCTCCTGACTGAAGTGCTCACTCTTGTGACTGAGGTGTCACTCTCCTGACTGAGTTGTCACATTCCTGACTGAAGTGCTCACTCTCGTGACTGAGGTGTCACACTCCTGACTGAGGTGTCACTCTCCTGACTGAGGTGTCACTCTCCTGACTAAGATGTCACTCTCCTGACTGAAGTGCTCACTCTCCTGACTGAGGTGTCACACTCCTGACTGAAGTGCTCACTCTCGTGACTGAGGTGTCACACTCCTGACTGAGGTGTCACTCTCCTGACTGAGGTATCACTCTCCTGACTGAGGTGTCACTCTCCTGACTGAGATGTCACACTCCTGACTGAAGTGCTACTCTCCTGACTGAGGTGTCACTCTCCTGACTGAGGTGTCACTCTCCTGACTGAGATGTCACACTCCTGACTGAGATGTCACTCTCCTGACTGAGGTGTCACTCTCCTGACTGAGATGTCACACTCCTGACTGAAGTGCTCACTCTCCTGACTGAGGTGTCACTCTCCTGACTGAAGTGCTCACTCTCGTGACTGAGGTGTCACTTTCCTGACTGAAGTGCTCACTCTCGTGACTGAGGTGTCATACTCCTGACTGAGGTGTCACTCTCCTGACTGAGGTGTCACTCTCCTGACTGAGGTGTCACTCTCCTGACTAAGATGTCACTCTCCTGACTGAGGTGTCACTCTCCTGACTGAAGTGCTCACTCTCCTGACTGAGGTGTCACTCTCCTGACTGAAGTGCTCACTCTCCTGTCTGAGGTGTCACACTCCTGACTGAGGTGTCACTCTCCTGACTGAGGTGTCACTCTCCTGACTGAGGTGTCACTCTCCTGACTGAGATGTCACTCTTCTGACTGAGATGTCACACTCCTGACTGAAGTGCTACTCTCCTGACTGAGGTGTCACTCTCCTGACTGAGATGTCACTCTCCTGACTGAGGTGTCACTCTCCTGACTGAGATGTCACACTCCTGACTGAGATGTCACTCTCCTGACTGAGGAGTCACTCTCCTGACTGAGATGTCACACTCCTGACTGAAGTGCTCACTCTCCTGACTGAGGTGTCACTCTCCTGACTGAGGTGTCACTCTCCTGACTGAGATGTCACTCTCCTGACTGAGGTGTCACTCTCCTGACTGAGATGTCACTCTCCTGACTGAGGTGTCACTCTCCTGACTGAGATGTCACACTCCTGACTGAAGTGCTCACTCTCCTGACTGAGGTGTCACTCTCCTGACTGAAGTGCTCACTCTCGTGACTGAGGTGTCACTCTCCTGACTGAGGTGTCACACTCCTGACTGAGGTGTTACTCTCCTGACTGAGGTGTCACTCTCCTGACTGAAGTGCTCACTCTCCTGTCTGAGCTGTCACACTCCTGACTGAGGTGTCACTCCCCTGAGTGAGGTGTCACTCTCCTGACTGAGGTGTTACACTCCTAACTGAGGTGTCACTTTCCTGACTGAAGTGCTCACTCTTGTGACTGAGGTGTCACACTCCTGACTGAGGTGTCACTCTCCTGACTGAGATGTCACTCTCCTGACTGAGGTGTCACTCTTCTGACTGAGATGTCACTCTCCTGACTGAAGTGCTCACTCTCCTGACTGAGGTGTCACTCTCCTGACTGAAGTGCTCACTCTCGTGACTGAGTTGTCACACTCTTGACTGAAGTGCTCACTCTCGTGACTGAGGTGTCACTCTCCTGACTGAGGTGTCACTCTCCTGACTAAGATGTCACTCTCCTGACTGAGGTGTCACACTCCTGACTGAAGTGCTCACTCTCGTGACTGAGGTGTCACTCTCCTGACTGAGGTGTCACTCTCCTGACTAAGATGTCACTCTCCTGACTGAGGTGTCACTCTCCTGACTGAGATGTCACTCTCCTGACTGAGGTGTCACACTCGTGACTGAGGTGTCAGTCTCCTGACTGAAGTGCTCACTCTCGTGACTGAGGTGTCACTCTCCTGTCTGAGGTGTCACTCTCCTGACTGAGATGTCACTCTCCTGACTGAGGTGTCACTCTCCTGACTGAGATGTCACACTCCTGACTGAAGTGCTCACTCTCCTGACTGAGGTGTCACTCTCCTGACTGAAGTGCTCACTCTCGTGACTGAGGTGTCACTCTCCTGACTGAGTTGTCACAGTCCTGACTGAAGTGCTCACTCTCATGACTGAGGTGTCACTCTCCTGACTGAGGTGTCACTCTCCTGACTGAGGTGTCACTCTCCTGACTGAGGTGTTACTCTCCTGACTGAGATGTCACTCTCATGACTGAGGTGTCACTCTCCTGAGTGAGGTGTCACTCTCCTGAGGTGCTCACTCTCTTGACTGTGCTGAGGATCTATTAGCTCATGCCTCGTTTGTTGTGTGTCCGTTTTGGGGCCACACCCTAGTGCTCAGGATCACTCCTGGTCCGGCGAGGGGGCCGCGTGTGGTGCGGGGATGGAGCCCCTTAGTCCCGAGCTTGCTGCTCTGCCACGCCCCGGGCTCACCCACGTGTGTGTCCTCCCAGTGTGGGCCAACAGCTGTCCGGATGGTTTCCCTCAGAGTTAGCTGCAGGCACCAGAGAACAGCCTGTCCGGGCACTGTCAGACATGGCAGGTTCGAGCCTTGCCAGGGGGCGCGAGACATGAAAGCTCTGGGTTTGAGCCCTGGAACACCACACACACACACACACACACACACACACACACATACTCATACGCACACACGCACATATACACATTCACTCACACGTTCACACACATACACAATTACACACTCACACTCATACTATGCATACACACATACTCAGGCACACTCAGACACGACACACACATACTCAGACACACTCAGACACCACACACACACACACACACACACACAGAAGACGGCGGCTCTCCCGCGCGGTGGCCTGCCGTGAAGCCAGTGGCTGACCTAGCTGGCGTCACTCAGACAGGAGCATTCCCTCTTACAAACCCCCAACACCCGCTGCCAAAGCGCCTCAGCCTCACCCAAGACTCACCTAGGAGGCTTGGCTTTTGTCTTCGCCTTGGGCCACACCTGGCGGGGCTGGGGAGCTTGGGGGCTGCAGGGATGGAGCCCGGTGCCCCCTACTGTCCTGTTTCTCCTGCCCTTTCATGTCCTCACTGTCCCTATGGTGTTCGGGCCCCAGCAGACGGTGCTCTGGGGCTGCTCCCAGCTCTGTGCTCAGGTCCTGCTCACGGGTTGCACCTGAGCCCCTTGGCACAGAGCCTGTGCTCAGCCTGGGGCCATCTCTCCAGTCACTCAACACAGCCACTCTTCAGGAGCTGTGGAGCCTCCAGGCTGCCTCAAACAGCTGTGTTCGTTTACGGTGTTTTCCCTCAGCGGTGGGGCTGGACCACCCCCGTGGTGCTCAGGGGACCAGATCAGGGCTGCCCGATGCATGCAAGTGTGTGGCCTGCAGCCGGGGTCCCCTACCCTCATCCCTGAGCTCTGAGGTTGGCCCAGAGAGCATGGCCCTTCGCCGGGGTCGGTTCGCCCTGTGAACTCTTGATTCCCCCGACAGGTCCGCGGAAGAAGGAGTGGCCTGGGCGGGGGACACGGACGATGCCGCGCTGACGGAGAAGCCGGCCAGAGGAGCGAGAGGCACCATGGAAAAAACTAGAACGAAGCAAGGTCGGGCCTCCCTGGTGGGCTGCGGGCTGGGGCCTGGACTAGCGGGGCGGTTCACCTTTCTGTTGCCTGGAACCCAAGATCATCACGTAGATGGGGGCGTCTCACCTCCTGCATCACCCGAGGACCACGCAGGGCGTGGACCTGGAGCTGGGGCAACAGGGAGTGAAATAGCACGTGTGTGTCACACGTGTGAATCATACACAACTCACGCGTGTGTTGGCCCTGAGGACTGGCTCACCTGTTGCGGGCCTCCCGCCTGTGGGGCACTGAGGATGGTCACCTGGGAAAGTAGCTTCTGTGGCTGACAATGACTCAGGAGAGAGGTCCCAGCAGGTCGGGGGGCCTGTCCCTGTCCTGCCCCCACCTGCACTGGGCCCGTTTCTGCCTCACCTCCTCCCTCCCCAGGGCCGTGCCCCTCACCTCCTTTCCCACCTACCCATGGTTTCCTGTCTCTTGTGTTGGCAGCATGGCTTTCTCTCTCAACCAGCATCCTTTCTAGAACCTTCTTCCCAGGACAGTTCTATCAGCCTCATCAAGAACTCTGTGTGTGTGTGTGTGTGTGTGTGTGTGTGTGTGTGTGTGTAGAACTGTGCGTTGATTGTGTGCAGAATCTGTGTACCTGAGTGTGTATGTATGTAGAACCGAGTGTATGTGTGTGTGAATCCCAGAACCTTCTGGAGACAGTTCTGCTGGCCTGCCTCCTTCCCAGACCATGTGTGTGAGTGCGTCTGTGTGAGTGTGTGTGCATGTGTGTGAGTGCATGTGTGAGTGCACACGTGTGTGAGTTTCATGTGTGTGAGTGCACATGTGTGTAGTTCATGTGTGTGAGTGCATGCAGGTACATGTGTGTGAATGCACATGTGTACGTGTGTGAGTGCATGTGTGTAAGTGCACACGTGTGCGTGTGTGTGCATGTGTGCCTGTGTGTGCTTGGCTGAACCTTCCATACAGTTCCACCAATTCTCTTGCCTGGAGCTTGCAGCCTCCCGGTGTTCGCCTGGGCTGGCCAGGGTCAGAGGCAGGAGTGAGTGAAGGCGAGGGGGGCAGCTGGGGGCTCCCCCGACCCGTCCCACCTGCCCTGCTACCCTCCCTTCCACGGGTCTGTGTCCATGGGCCATCCATGCAGACGCCAGCCATGCGTGGACCTCGGCTCAGCGGGCGGCCCTGGGCCCTGGGGTCTCCCCTGCAGGTGTGAGGAGGAGCGGGGAGGGGGTGCGGACTGAGCTGCTCTCCCCCCCCCAGGAGAGAACGAGCACGTGCCCATGAACAGCCCCTCCACGCAGATCTACCAGGTGAGCACAGCGCGTAGCCGCGGCGGGCAGCCCACGGGCCTCGGGGACGGCCGGCCGCACGGATGCCGCCTCTGTGCTGGGCAGGACGAGGCGTGACAGGTGCACGCGGGAAGGGGGGTCAGATGGTTCTGTCTCCTGAGGGAGACTCGGCAGAGGAGAGAAACGATCTACAGCCGGGCGTGGTGTCTGTGCGCCAGCCTGATGTCGGGGAGGCCCCACGGGTGGTTCATGTGAAGCTGGGAGAAGAGACGGTCACTTTCTCCCCATCCGCCTCTGCCACCCGGTACCCAGGATCACTGGGTCCTTGTATCTCCTCGCAGAGAAGAATTTCAGGAGTAGATGAGTTGTGAAGCAAAGCATTGTAGCACTGTAGCAATGTCCTCCCGCTGTTCATCGATTTGCTCTAGTGGGCACCAGGAATGTCTCCTTGGTGAGACTTGCTGCGACTGTGTTTGGCATATCAGATACGCCACGGGGAGCTTGCTGGGCTCTGCTGTGCAGGCGAAATACTCTCGGGAGCTTGCCAGGATATTCGAGAGGGACGGAGGAATCGAACCTGGGTTGGCCGCGTGCAAGGCAAACGCCCTATCGCTGTGCTATCACTTCAGCCCTCAAAGAAAACAGATTTTATTTGAAGGTTTTGAAGGAGGGAGAGACAGTGGGAGAGAGCGGAGAGTAACGCACTCAAGAGAGGACCTGGGCTTCTCCAAGAGCGGAGAGACCCCTACACACACGCCACCATTAGGCATGAAAGCAGGAAAGTCCCCATCTCTAGAGGGGAGACGCGGGTGACACATGTGCTCAGGTAGCACATGTGCTCGGCCACATGGGTGCAGGCAGCATATGCACCCTTTCTTTGTGCAAGGTGGCTTTTATAGAGTATCTTCTCAGGATGTCTTGGTCTGGAATGTTCTGGGCTGAATCACTAAAGTGAATCGGATTAAGGGAGAGGTCCAAGGGTATCTGAGGAACTTCCTTCATGCGTAGGTGTCCACTCTCCTCAGGGCCTATTGCTGGCACCAGGCGAGGGTCTTCTCAGCCTTAGTTCCTGTTTTCTGGGGGGCTACCCCAGGCTGGAGGCGGGGTGGGGCAGCCGAGGGCTGATTGGACGCTTCCCTGTGCAATCGCGTAAGCAGTTTAAGCGATGTAGTTGAAAACTACGTGCACCTGTAGATTTACACTCAGGTGCAGTTCCGACTGCTTGTGGGTCAGTCCCCACCTGGGCTAAATATACCCATGCCGGGGGGCCGGGCTGCCCCGACCTGGGCCTCGCAGCCCTCTGACAGCTGCTCCTGGCAGCAGCGAGACGGAAGCTGGTCTCTGGGACTCCTCCATGCTGGGAATTTGTCCCATCATCGTCTTTGGAGAACACTTTCCCGGAGCTGGAGAGGTCGGATGGGGGAGGGCATTTGCTGTGCACACGGCGCCCCCTGTGGTCCCCTGCACCCGCCAGGAGCAAGCAGCCCGGAGCACAGCCAGAAGTAAGCCCTGAGCATCACCCGGTGTGGTCCCCAAACACAGAAACAAACCCCGGCCGGCCGCTCCTGGGCCCTGAGCACTGTTGGGTGTGGCCCCAAAGCCAGACCAAACAGCATAAACGAAGGGCTTCAGCATCGCTCAGGCTGAGGCCCAGAAGCACCTGGCAAGTTCTTAGGAGCCCCAACGGGCGGGGCGGGTGCTCTGAGCCCTCCTGCTGGGACCAGCTCCCAGAGATCTGTTTGCTGAGACTGCCCAGGGGAAGGCGCTCAGTCTGGCACTCGGCCACACCTGCCAGGAGGGCCCCTGAGCACAGAGCCGGGAGCCAGCCCTGAGCACCCCTGGGGGTAGCCAGGAGGAAAGAGCAGGAAGAAGGCAGAGATGGGTCCACCGCAGGGGCAAGACGCTAAGTCACAAGGGCTGTTGTCCCATTACTGTGACTTTTCAGTCCAGCCTGCTGAAAACGTTTTTCGTTTGTTCAGTAAGTACAATTGGAGTGTCCATGTTTCTCTTAGACCCCCTACAGGGGAAGGGGGTGGGACTTTCTGGGCATGTGGCGCCTGTGGGCCATGTGGTCCCTCCGTCTCAGAGAGCTGCAACTGGGCTCTGGGGGACGGCTGCTGGCGTCTGGGGACGTGCCCTCGAGGTGGCCCCCCTGGCAGTCACCCCCTCCCCACTGCCCTGCCTCGCAGATGCAGAAAGCGAGTGGCAGATCTGCCCAGGCCTCAGGGCCCTGAAGACCCGCTCGCCCTGGCCCCTGCATGGAGCTGTTCTCAGCCCGACTCATGGACACGCCACAGGGGCCACCCGCTGGTGTGCAGTGTCGGGAGCTTAGCGGAAGCCTCTCCCTGTTGGAGGGACCCTCTGGGCGGCCTCTGGCCTCGCCTTTTAGCCTGCAGCCTTTTTTGGTTTGTTTGGGAGACGTACCTGGCGATGACCGGGCTGACTCCTGGCGGTGCGTGGGGACCACTTGAGGTGCCAGCAGGCCCCCTACCCCCTCTATCATCTCCCCAGCCCTCCCATCAGCTATTGAATTTACTTATTTAGGTTTTTTGGTTACACCTGGTGTTGCCCAGGGGTCACTCTTGGCGGTGCTCCCGGGACCCCGTGAAGTGCCGGGAACGGAACCCAGGTCAGGCGCATGCACGGATGCGCCCCATCGTACTATTGCTCCGGCCCTTCAGCCTTCTTTAGGGGGCAGACAACAGGGCTTCTTCCCTCCTGTGGTGGCAGGGGCGCCCGCCTTTTCTCCCCCAAAGACCGGGGGCTCTCGAGGCAGCGTGGAGGGCCGGGATCTTGGGGCCGCTCAGCACCGGCCCAGCTCTCGGCCGCCTCATCCAGTTGCAGGCGCTCGCCTCGGAACTCAAGACGGGCTTCACGGAAGCCATGCAGGAGCTGTCACGGATCCACCACGGGGAGTACGTCCTGGAGGAGAAGGTGAAGAGCTGCAAGTGCTCCATGGACGAGCGGGTCACCGAGATGAGGAATTCTCTCAACTACTTCAAGGTAGGGCCTCTCGCCTGGCCCCCGAGACTCGGCTTCCCCTGCGCGCGGTCACGGGTCGGCATGGAACAGGCGCCTCAAAGCTGCCTTTCGGGCACCTCTGTGCTGATCCCGCTGGCCGCGGCAGGAGCAAGACTCTCACCTTGCAGGGCCGGAGAGAGCAGGGGTGAAGGGGCTTGCCTGGCACGGGGCTGACTCTGGTCTGATCCTGGACACTGCACGTGGGCCCCCGAGCAGCGCCAAGGGCCACTGCTGAGCACAGAGCCCTGAGCACTGGAGGTGGGCCCCACTCCAGCCAATCTCTCCTTTGCTCAGTGAACAAGCTGGCCTCCAAAGCTTCCTCCAGGCCCTTCCCTTCACCGTGCAAACATTCCCGTTCTCTCTTTTCTCTTTTAGGAAGAGCTGAGTAATGCCATGTCCATGATCCAGGCCATCACCTCCAAGCAAGAAGAGATGCAGCAGAAAATCGAGCAGCTGCAGCAGGAGAAGCGGAGAGAATCCCGGAAGGTGAAAGCCAAGTGAGTGGCCGCACTGGGGACCCGGGGACAGCACTGGCCGGCGGCCAGCAGGGAGCGGAGGGCACAGGCCCGAAAGCTGCCTAACTCCAGCCTCCCAGGCCGAGTCTGGTTGGTACAACCGGAAGTGAAAAGACATTGGCATCAAATGGCACCTAGAATACTAGCTCAACTGTAAACATACGAAAAGCAGGGGCAGGGGAGAGAGCTTGGAGGGCAGGAGGGCTCGCTGTGTGGGCAGGAGTCCTGGGCCTGATCAGTGCCGTACTGTCCCCTAAGCCCCTCTAGAAATGGCCCCCAAGAACAGAGCAGACCCAGAGAGCAAGTGCAGGCGCCGGAGTGATAGCACAGCAGGGAGGGCGTTTGCCTGGGTTTCATTCATCCCTGGCACCCCATATGGTCCCCCGAGCACCACCAGGAGTGATTTCTGAGTGCAGAGCCAGGGGTTACCTGGAGTGACCAGGTTTGTGGCTTGCACACATGAGACCTGGGTTCGATCCCCAGAATAACAAGAGTAACAAGTGCAAAGGCTTTTTGAAAGACTCATTTAGGGGCTGGAGAGAGGTACAGAGGCTACATCACTTGCTTGGCACACAGCTGACCCAGGCTCGACCCACACCACATGCGGTCCCCCAAGCCCTAGCTGGAGTGATCCCAGGTATGGCCCTCAAACAAATAAATAAAAATGTGATTATTGGGAAGGGGGCCGGGGAGATGGGACGGCAGGCAGGGCTCTTGCCTCACATGCTGGTGACCCGAGTTCAACCCCCGCCACCCTGGAGAGTCCCCTGACCCCCGAGGGCAGGGCCAGGAGTGTCACCTGCGCACAGCCAGGTGTGGTCGAAAACCCCATAACACAACAATCAGGATTGCTGGGGCAGACACAGTCTGAGGTCTGAGGCGCTCGCCTGGACTGCTCTGGGTCAGCTGTGACCCAGCACACACACTCCTGAACATGGCTGGAGGCGCAGGGGTCCCAGGACGGATGGGGGCAGCACTGCGACACCCAGAGCCTCATACGAGCCTCTGGCCCAGTTGGCCAAGGATTGCTAGGAGTGGCCCCCAGGCCCACTGAGGTCTGTCCCCTGCAGATAATAGTGATTGTGCTGGGAGGTGGCTAGTGACCAGGTTTATGGCTTGCACACATGAGACCTGGGTTCAATCCCCAGCATTGCAAAAGGGAAAAACAACTCACAAAAAGTAGTGCACCGGGGGCAGGGGAGAGAGAACAGGACGGACGGCGCTTGCCTTATATGCAGCTAGTCCGAGTTCGATCCCCGGCATCCCACATGGTCCCCCGAGCACCTCCAGGGGGGATTCCTGAGTGCAGAGCCAGGAGTGATCCCTGTGCATTGCTGGGTGTGGCCCCAAAGCAAATACAAAACCAAAACCAAAATGCACATAAAAATGACGACTGTGGGGGCTGGAGCGATAGCACAGCAGGTAGGGCGTTTGCCTTGCACGCAGCCAACATGGCCGACCCAGGTTCGATTCCCAGCATCCCATATGGTCCCCCGAGCACCGCCAGGAGTAATTCCTGAGTGCATGAGCCAGGAGTAACCCCTGAACATCGCCGGGTGTGACCCAAAAAGCAAAAAAAAAATGCCGACTGTGTCTGAAGACTGGATGGGGGAGTGATGGTTTTCTGATAGTTTTATAGATCTTCTCGAATATTAAATTTTTATTAGGCAAGAACTTCAGTAAAAAACTTCAAGTAAGATGTCATCACTCGGGGCTGGAGCAATAGCACAGCGGGTAGGGCGTTTGCCTTGTACGCAGCCAACATGGCCGACCCAGGTTCGATTCCCAGCATCCCATATGGTCCCCTGAGCACCGCCAGGAGTAACTCCTGAGTGCAGAGCCAGGAGGAACCCCTGTGCAGTGCTGGGTGTGACCCAAAAAAAGAAAGAAAAAAGAAAAAAAAAGAAAAAAGATGTCATCACTCAATGTGCTTATGGTTATCAGTCGCTACTTGTACTCTGAGGCCATGCAGGGCGATGGATGCTCTACTTCCCTCGCAGGAAGGCTCAGAAGGAGGAACACAGGTCACACACGCAGCACAGCTGGGACGGAACCAGCCACGTGGGCCAGAGTCTCGGAGGCACAGGACAAAGTGTATCAGTAGGGGCAGTGGTTAAGCAGAGGTTGAAGGAGAGCCACACTCATGAGGGGAGCTGGAGGGGGCCGAGGGGGTGTTCTGGCTCGGAAGAAGCGCTGGAGCGGTGTCCTCAGAAGCTGAGGCAGGGCAGGCTCGGGCACTGCCCACACCCAGAGGCGACACGTCCCAGCCACCGGCCGCCGGCAGCTGCAAGGCTGATTACTCTGCTATTCTCTGAAAATGTCAGGGTTCCCAGCAGCTGGGGTGCGCCCAAGGGCCCAGGGCCCCTGGTGGTCAGGGCCTGTGCCAGGGAGCCGCGCCTCACTGCTGCTCTGTCTCCAGGTCTCCGTGGCGATTTCCACCTTTTTGTTTTGGGCCCGTGCCCAGCAGTGCCCAGGGGCCCCAGGGATGCCCCTGTCACACACTGGCATGGACACGGCGGGCACCTTTGGGCCGGTCAGTCACCGGGGCCACGGCTCAGGGAGGAGAGTGCGGCTGGCTCAAGGGCTCACGATCCCACCCTGTCCGTGTCCTGCATGCGAGTCCAGGCCCTGGCCAGGCTGGATCCAGAAACTGCCTGTGCTCCTGGGTTCCACCAACCATTCAGGAACATTCTGGCGTTCTAGACGGATCCGCTTCCTCCACCCTGTGTTCAGCCCCACGCACGCCTGTCTCTGCTTCCCTCGCAGGAAGGCTCAGAAGGAGGAACACAGCACCCCGGGCCCGGCCGGCGGCAGCCCCTTCCGCTCCATCAACACCCCCGAGCCCCTGCAGCCCAGCGAGGAGTTCCCCAGCCTGCTGCCCGCTCAGGCCTACGACAAAGGTACCCACCTGCCACCCCGGCAGCCACAGCCTCCCGCACCCCCTTCTCCCGAGCCAAATACCCCCCAGACCAGCCATGTACCACTTCCCGCAACAACTAGCCACAGGACCATGCTCTGCCCTGAACAACCTTGCACCCCCAACCAGCCACGCGCACACACACGCACACACGCACACACACACACACACACACACACACACACACACACACACACCCCTCTCCCCAAACCAGCCCACCCCAACCAGTCACGCCCCCGGCCCCGGGCCCTAGGGTTGAACACACTCTGGCCCCCGCCTGGGAGAGGTGACGACTGACCTGGATTTCGGAGCCGGAGTCCACGGGCCGTGGGGAGTCGGACATCTGCCTGAGTGTAAAAGATTCTTTGTAGTGGGGGCAGGAACAATTGTTCAGCGGGTTCAACCCCTGGCACCCCATATGGTCCCCTGAGCACTGCCAGGTGTGGCCCCCAAACAAATCAAAACAAAAAGTCTCTATAAAAGAAACAGGAAACGCCAAGTCGAGTGCCCTGAGTTTGGCCCAGTGATGCCGGCTGTCCACCCAGCCCCACGTGCGCCCCGTCCAGAATCAGTGTGTGCCCAGCACAAACACGGCAGCAGCAAAGGCCAAGACCTGATCCTGGGCCTGGACGGGTGGGCAGTGGGGACACTGGGCCCAGGATGAGGTCACACCTGCGTGTTTCCCTGCGGCTCAGGACCCAGGGACAGAAGGGACGTCAGTGGCTGTGGTCTGTGTCCTCAGCTGCATCCCGGGGACTTTGTCTTCGTCTGGGGAACGTGCCCCCCTCTGCTGGGGGATGGTTCTGTCACATGGGCAGGAAGGACGCTGAGGGGCTTCTCCTTTCTGGCAGCTGCTGAATCCAGGGCTGTCCACGTCGGGGAAGGGAATGTGAAGGCCGTGCTGGGCGCAGGTGAGAGCCGCCCTCGGGCCCCTCTCTGGTCCCCGTGCTCTAGGGAGCAGCCCTGGGGTCCGGGCCTCTCTCTCAGGGCCCTCAGCTATCATCGGGACAGGGCGTCCGTCCCCAGTCCCCAGGGGCCGCGTTTCCTGGTGAGACAGCCCGCCCGCAGTCCTTCCCTCCCTCTCCCCCTCCCTCCCTCTTGCTGCCACTTGCCTGGGATGGAGGCTTGGGTAGCCCGAGCCTGGCATCCGCTTCCCCTTAGTGTCCCCTGGAGGGAGCAGCAGGCTCAGCCCAGCCCCCAGCACTGTATTGTGGGGGATCAATGATGCCCCATTTGTCTTCGAGGCTCCTCATTCCCAGGGGGTGGGGAGTGTCTAGGGCAGTGGGGGCCCAGTGTGCATGCCGGCACCATGCATGCTCGGACAGCTGTTCTGGCCAGGGGGACAGTGGGGGACAAGGCCCCACCTTGCACAAGGGCTACTCGCGGCCCAGGCCATAGGCGGCCGGGACTGAGCACAGCGTTTTCCAGGAATGAGCCCGGTGGCCCCGGAGCCGGAGGAGAGCCTCAAGGCGTGCCTGCCTGCCGACACCCCCACCCCAGGGCACCTCCCCTCAGGGCTGTGGCGCCAGCCCAAGGTGAAGGAGCGGGCCGAGGAGTACGCCACCAAGGACCGCCCAGACAAGCTCACGGAGGCCACGCCGGGCAGGCATGGGGCGCTGGACACTGTGCTCTGCGAGCCCTCCCTGGCTGGTGAGTGCCGGCTGGCTGCGGCTTCCTCTGTCCTGCGCTGACCACCGTCGCGGCCCCTCCAGGCACTGGCTCAGGCATGCTGGGGTGGACAGTGCCAGGACTGACCCCTAGACATGGGCCCCTTGCCGAGTGTCCAGGGCCAACTGACATTTCATCAGCCTGTTGCCCAGTTTTACTGGGGTGTGTGTGTGTGTGTGTGTGTGCGCGCGCGCACATGTGTGTGCCTGGGTGTGCGTGTGTGCGTGTCTGTGTGTGTGCATGTGTATGTCTGTGCGTGTCCGTGTGTGTATATGTGTGTCTGTGCGTGTGCGTGTGCATGTTTGTCTGTGTGTGTGTGTGTGTGTGTGTGTGCTCGCACCTGGGGTCAGTCCCAGACACCCCCTGAGAGGCTGGCCAGCTCTCTAGCTCTGAGCCACCCCCCCCCCCCCACGCTGAGATTTTATTATTTTGGGGGATGGTGCCCTGAGCACACCTGGCGCTGCTCGGGGCTGAGCGTGGCTCTAGGCTTGGGCGTCACCCCTGGTGCTTGCGGACCCGTTGGTGCTGCCAGTTGGGGACTCTGATGGGGCAGGGTGGTACTCAGGGGCATGCCTTGGCACCTGTACCATCTCTGCCCCACAAGCCGAGGCTCTGAAGCAGAGGCTGCGATGGGCCAGCGCTGTCCCGGGAGCCTGTGGCCCTGCGGGGGTGCCCGGCTGTCCCACTCGCCTTCCCGACGAGCAGACGGGAGTTCACAGAGGTGAGGGGTCCCCGCAACAGCGCCCACCAGCTCAGGGTCCGACAGTCAGTCGTGGGTGGTTCTGAGAAGGCAGGAGGAGGGTGGCGAAGGGACAGGTCCAGTCAACTGCTCAGTGGGGGCCGTGCCCCAGGACAGCTTCACGCAGTGTCTATCCCGGGAAGCCGGAGTGGCCGCCACAATTCAGTGCTCCGCACCCCGCCTGTGAGCCTTTCTCCATGATGTGAGGGAGAGAGTTCGGGCAGCTTCTCCTGATGGGTAGCGCTGTGGGTGGGCACGTGGGTAGGTATGTGGTTGGTCACATGGGTGTGTACGCGATTGGGTACAGGGGTGGGGACATGGGTGGGGGCTGGGGTGGGGTCCCTGGGCACCTGGGGGGTACTGGAGGGTAGTGGACAGGCAGTGGGTGAGTGGCCTGCCCTGGTGGGTGGGGTCGTGGGCACCTTCCCACAGTCCTGCTGGCCGGCAGGTCCCTTAGGGGGCGCCAATTGAAACCCTGCCCAGCCTTTCCACGGTGGTCTCGGTCTTCCCACTAGCTCCGGTGGGCTTTTGTGTGTCTCTGGGCCACACCCAGCGAAGGTGCCCAGGGATGACTCCTGGCCCTGCACTCAGGGTCCCTCCTGGCGGGACCAGGGGATCCAACCTGGGTCGGCCGCACACAAGGCCAGTGCCCTCCCCGCTGTACCCGCTGCTCCTTCTGAATTCGTTCTAGTTGAGGCCCGATCGGATACAGGCCGATGGGTCTGTTCTGGCCTGCGGCCTGCCTCTTCCCTCTCAGTCTCTCTCTCCTTCACGGAGGTTCCCTCGTGGTGCTGGGGGCCGCCTGGGCCCCCCCAGTCTGAGTCCCCTGAGGCGACTGTGGGGTCCATGCCGCTCAGTCGTCTCCCCGCCCCAAATGACCCGTTTCCAAACAGCTTGTCACTTACGTGTTTCTCTGAGAAGTCTGCCTGTCCCCAGGTTGAGGATTTATTTTCTTCACAACCCTTCCGGTCGCAGCAAGAGCGGTAAACCAACCCCTCCGCGTGTGCCTCTGAGGCTCGCTCTGTGTGTTGGGGTGCACGTGCGGAGACGGGGTGCATTTCCTCCGGTCAGGTCATGCGACAGCATCTCCTCCTCGCTGGGTGGTGCAGGAGCCTTGAGCCGTTTCCCAAAAGCATCTCCCGGGGCCGGACACACCCGGGGCCTCACAGGCTCCGTGCCACCCCGTCCCCACCTGTCCCCCCCCCCGCCCCGCTCTACTCTCTGCCTTTGGGAAGAGACTCCTGGATTTCTTCTCTGGGGAGCGGTTTCCCCAAGGAGAACAGGGCACCCCAGAGCTCTCACCCCTCCCAGGATGCCCGACAAGATTCTTAGTTTCCTCGATTCTTCCTCTCCCCCTGCCCCGCGTCTCTCCCTCTCTTCCCCTCTCTTCCCCTCCCTCTCCCTCCCTCTCTCTCCTTCTCTCTCCTTCTTCCTCTTTCTCCCCCCTCTCCCCCTCTCTCTCCCTCTCTCTTCCTCTCTGTCTCCCTTTCCCTCCCTCCCTCCCTCTCTCTCCCTCTCTCTCTCCCCCTCTCCCTCTCTCCCCGCTTCTCTCTCTCTTAAGCAAACTGGGGTGTTGGGATGTCACTGTCTGTAGCTCTTCCTTCCTTGGGGGCCTCCTCTAGGGCTCTGTCTCCTGGGGACCGCCCGGGCTTCTCTGCTTTAGCCTTCCTCCCCCGCCCCCGCAGGTGGATGAGAACACCTGGGGGTGCTCCTGGAGCTGGTGCTCTCAGCCTGGCACCCTGCTGGCACCGCATCTGGGCCAGGCTTCAATTCCAGCATTGCAGCTCCCAGCAGACCCCCGCCCCAGTGCAGGGGCACCCAGGGTCTCCCGAACGCCCCCCAGGCCTTGGGTCCATCTCTGACACTCGCTGGCAGTGGTGATAAGTTTCTGTGTGTGTGTATGTGTGCGTGCGTGCATGTGTGTGTGTGTTTACATTTTCGGGGGGCGTACCCCCCTTGCCCCTAGCTCTGTGCCCAGGGGTCCCTCCCTGCAGGACTCAGGGGAGCAGGTGTGGTGCCGGGGATCAAGCCCTGGTCGGCTGCCTGCAGGGCAAGTGCCCTCCCTGCCTTGCTATCGCCCTTGGTTTGTTTTTCAGCTAAAAGGCAGACGGTGGCTCTGGAGCTGCTGGAGTCTGAGAGGAAGTACGTCATCAACATCTCTCTGATCCTGAAGATCAAGGCCACCTTCCAGGGCTCGGACGGCAAGAGGAACGCCAAGGAGAGGAGGTACCTGCCCTCCGCCGCCAGGGAGAGACCCGGGAAGCCAGAGCAGCTGGTCCCCACGCACCCTGGGAGGTGCGCCCGGCACCTGTGTCCACCCTCTGCTGACCGGCTGGCCCTGGCCTGGCTCAGCTTCTCTGGCAGGGTGGGGGCTGGGGCAGGAGTGCCCGGGGGCTGCAGGCAGACCCTGCATTCCGCCCTGAGCTGTCTCCTGGCTCCCCACTGCGCGTGAAGGAGCACGGGCCCCCACGCTCGGACCCTGACCGCCCCGTCAGAGCTCTGGGTGACCCTCAGCCCGAGAACCCCACGCTCTCTCCAGCCCTCCCTCACCCCCACTCCTCCTTTCTTCCTTGCCTCTGGGGGTGGGGGTGGGACGGGCGCTGTCCTCGCAGTCAGGGCCCCGCTCAGAGATGGGCTGTTCCCCGGCTCCTCTATGGGGAGCCTCTGCTCGCTCAGGGCCCTCGACACCCCCTGACGCTGCGGGCGACAGCGCACATGGGGGCAGAGCTCCCAAAGAGACACCTTTAGACTGTCCTGAGGGTCTCGGCAGGACAGGGTGACCCCCGGAAGGCCGCGAACTTCCTTTCAAAACTCTGACTGTGGACCCTCGACTCGGCACCCCAGGCCGAGGTGGGCCGGCCCCATCTAACCCCCTCCCGCCCTCCTGAAGCCTCTTCCCAGGCTCCCTGCGGTACCTGGCGCAGCAGCACCTGGACCTGCTCCACGCCCTGCAGGAGAGGGTCCTCAAGTGGCCCCGCCAAGGCGTCCTTGGAGATCTATTCCTGAAGCTCACCAACGATGAGGTAAGAGTTTCAAGAGAATCTCTTTGGCTTTCCTTTAAAAAATATATTTTTTGCAGGGGACCAGAGCAATAGTACAGGGGGGAGGATGCTGGCCTGGCATGGGGCCACCACAAGCCCAGGAACCCGTATTGTCCCCAAGCCCACCAGGAGTGATCCCTGAGCACTGCCAGGTGTGGCCCCTAAAAATTGTGTGTCTGGGCATACTGACAGTAGTGACGTGGGAGGTGACCACGTCCATCTCGGCGCAGAGACCGTGCGCTGGGCTCCATCCCAGGACTTCTGCATGCCACCCTTTGAGCCTCCCCACTTCCCTCTGAGCCCTCAGAAACCCTTCACAACAGTGGCCAGAGCGATAGTGCAGTGGGCAGTTGCTTGTTTTGCACACAGATGACCCAGGGTTTGATCCCTGGCACCCCATGTGGTCCCCTGAGCACCGCCAGGGTGATTCCTGAGCACAGAGCCAGTAGTAAGCCCTGTGCATCACCGGGTGTGGCCCAGAAAGCAAAGAGAGAGAGAAAGACCCTGACAGACATGGGTCGGGGGCGCCGGCACCTCCGTTGTCTGTCCCACTGCAAAGTCTGGTGGATCCCAGGTGTGGAGGAAGTGTGGGCCCCACCCTGGTGCCCTCCCACTGCAGATCACGCTCGGCGACTCCCAAGGCTTTCTGGTATCACCCAGCTGCTGGTGGCTGTGGGCCTGGGTCCGAGGGAGTTCACGTCTTCCAGCTTCAGCTCTGGCTCCCACCTGTGTCTGTCTGCATGGGGCATGTATGTGAATGCCACCTGCATGTGAGCTGCAGTGACACAGACGGCCCTGGGCAGGCACTGGCAGGCACCCTGACAGGCGTGCTGCCGCCCCTGCCTGGCATTAAGGCAGGCAGAGAGCTCTGCGGGTTCGACAGGGTAGGGGTACGAGGCAGTGAACTGAGGCAGTGGGCAACTCTGCTTTTCAGGAATGTTCGTTGAGACACTGTGACTTACCGGATCGCTCATAGTAGAGTTGTTTCAGGCATGCAAAGTTGCAACACCAACCCCACGGCTAGAACCCTTCCCTCTGCCAATGCCCCCAGGTTCCTTCCCATCCCCAGCCTGACCCTGGGCAGGAATATAGCAAGCTTCTTCCGTAGTCCAATAAAACTTAAAGGGATGGCAAATAGAATTACCAGAGAGTCAATCAGTAAGAATCCACGTGTGGTGATGAATCGCTCAGTTTTTAACCTTTCTTAATTGAGTAGCGGACAGCCACATGGTGGTCAGGCCATAGCCCGCCACACATGGGGGAGTTTCTCCTGGACCTTCGAGAAGTTCTTTTTGCTTTTTGGGTCATACCTGGCGATGCACAGGGGTTCCTCCTGGCTCTGCACGCAGGAGTTACTTCTGGCGGTGCTCAGGCGACCATATGGGATGCTGGGAATCGAACCCGGGTCGGCCGCATGCGAGGCAAACACCCTCCCCAGAGAAGTTCTTTTAACGCTTCTTGCAAAACTGGTTTGAAGGCCGTGAAGGCTGTTCCCTAAGCTCTTGCCTGTCCAGGAAGCTCTGTATTCCTTCAAATCTGAATGATAATCAAGGTGGGCATTCTTGGTGAGGTGTCTATTTCGTTGAGTTTTTATACTATATCCTTCCGTAGTCTGAGTCTCACTTGAGAGATCTGCAGTGTGGCTTCCCTTTATTTAAGAGTTCCTATTTTGAACTTAATATTCTGTCTCCGTCTTTCGATTTTGTCGTTTTGAGTACATTGCATCTTGGAGTTTTTCTACTTGGGTCTATTTTCTTTTTTTTATTTTCGGGTCACACCCAGCAATGCTCAGGGGTCACTCCTGGCTCTGCACTCAGGAATCACTCCTGGCGATGCTCGGGGGACCATTGTGGATGCTGGGAATCGAACCCAGGCCGGCCGCGTGCAAGGCAAACGCCCTCCCCGCTGTGCTATCTCTCCGGCCCCCTACTTGGGTCTATTTTCACGGGTACCCTTCAGGCCTCCTGGGTCATGGTGCCTGTAACCCTCCACCCTGGGGAGTCCTTGTCCATGACTGAACTGTTTCTGCATCGCATGTGCCTTCCTGCTCTTCCTTCTCCGGTGATTCCCACACCGCCCCTCCTGGCCAGAGCCCTCTGCCCTGCTGGTCAGTTCTTTCCGGCCAGTTCCCACCTCCCGCTGTTCCCTGGCAGTTTCCTCCTCCTCCTCTTGGAGCTCCTTCGTCTTCTGCTCGGCTGCTGCCGTTCTGCTCTTCCAAGCCGCCGCGGACTTTTCTATCACCCACCACGCTCTCCACTTCTGCCTGGAGCAGAGTTTTCCTGTTGACTCTCAGACTTTCTTGCGCTTTGCTGGCTCCCTGTTGCTACCAGTTTTTCTAATCTTGGTTATGGGCACTCCTGGCAGTGCTCGGGGAAGACTCTTGGCTCAGTGCTCGGGGGTCACACCCAGCAGTTCTCAGGGACCACACGGGCCTGGATCCATCCTGGGCCTCCCCCTGGCCCCTTGCGCCAGCTCCCAGCAAACCTTCAGAGACCGTGTGAGCGAGTGAAGTTCACTCGCAGCAGTGTCCAGTGTCCTTGTCTCCTGGTCCCGCCTCCCCTCCCCCCTCTGCTCTGCTGTGCTGACGGGGTCATGTGCTGGAGTGGTGCCCTCTGGGGCTCCAAGCTCACACCCGGGTGGGGTCGCACAATTTAGCTGCCAAGAGCTCCCCTGCTTTGGCACCAGGAGGTCCAAGCAGACCCGCTGGGGCCACTGATTGACTGGGGGGGGGGGCTCTTGGCCTCACACTTCCAAGCTATACTTCTCCCACTGAGTCACACTGGCCCAGGTGAGTCCTGGGACAGAGTTTACAGAAGTCACAAGGCCACCTGTATGGGTTAAATGTGTTCTCTCTCCTCTCTCTCTCTCTCTCTCTCTCTCTCTCTGTCTCTCTGTGTCTGTCTCTGTTTCTCTGTCTCTGTCTGTGTCTCTGTCTCTCTATTTCTCTGTGTCTCTGTTTCTGTCTCTGTGTCTATTTCTCTGTGTCTCTGTCTCCATCTCTCTCTCTCTCTCTCTCTCTCTCTCTCTCTCTCTCTCTCTTTCTCTCCACTTGCACTCATCCACATTTGCTGTGTTTGCAAGCTGACCATGTTCTCGTGGACTCATAGCCGTGGAGTCTTGGAATCATTTTCAGGAGTGGGAGCGGGGCCGGGGAATGTTCCAGAGGTGATTAAAGGGGTCTGAGCACTGGGCAGGGCTAGAGGCTGTGAGCGGCTTGTCCATGCATCTCCTTTGGGTGCAGGGGACGGAAATGAAAGTGGCTAATGGATAACTGAGCCTTGATCGCTTGACCACTGCAGGGGCGGGCGTGGCAGAGGCAGCCTTGGTGTGTGTGGGGGGAGCCACGCGCCAGACCCACCCCTGCACTTGCACCTGCTGCCCCGCCCGCCTCTCGCGCTCCTCGGGGCCCTGCTGCTCGACCCGGTTCCCTTAAAATCGAAGATTCCAAAACAGAGAGAAACCCGGCCCCCAAACTCGAGTGGCAAACACGGCCGCAATGCGAGGTCAGGTCCAGGAGGCGCCCCTGTCTGGACTGTTACCACTCAGCGCCCAGGGTCTCTGTGTCCCCCCAGAACAACTTCCTGGACTACTATGTCGCCTACCTGCGGGACCTGCCCGAGTGCATCGCACTGGTCCACGTGGTGGTCCTGAAGGAGGTGAGTCTGCCTGGGTACTGCTCGGCCACAGTGCTCCATCCTCCGGCTGGGGCAGGGCTGGAACGGGCCGCTAACATGGCCCCACCCAACTGGAGGACCAGGACCATTGCTTGGGACCGGACCCCGCCTGGAAACGGTCTCGAGGGGCTGCCGGTGTCCCTTCTGGACAGGGACGTGCCGCACCTGGGCCTGGCCAGGCAACCCGGGCCATCCCGTGTCCAGCAGGAACATCGTGACAGGGCCTTGGCCCCGCTCCTTGGAGCAGTGCTCGCCCTGGCAGGGTGCCCAGTCACCAGAGGGGTGGCTCTGCCCCCTCATGTCCCCAGAGCCACTCCCCGCCCTTGTCCGTGGTGTCCTCGTGTCCTCTGCAGGTCAGGGGACACTGTGGGGTGGCTGCATGCGGCTGTCCAGCTCAGGGGTTCCCACTGCTGCCTAGCCCGGGCTGAGAGGGGCTGGGGCGGGGAGCACTGTCGCCTGAGCCCTCCCTCACAGCGCCAGTCCCCTTCTCGCCTCAGGGTGACGAGGAGATCAAGTCGGACATCTACACGCTGTTCTTCCACATCGTGCAGCGCATCCCTGAGTACCTGATCCACCTGCAGGTGAGGCCCAGGGCGGGGCGGGGGCCCTGAGCTCCCGCAGGCCTGTCTGGGGCAAGCGGGCCGAGCCGTGGCTCAGGGCGCAGCTGCCCGCAGTGTCCCCCAGGCCCTTTTCCGCCCCCCCCCAAGGGACCCACTGGGCGCTGGGGGCTGCAGGGGAGGGGGAGAGAGAGGCTGCTCCCATGATGCCCCGGGCAGGACCTTGTCCGGGACTCACAGGGAAGGACGTGGGCCATGCGGGCCAGTGACTTTCCCTGGAACTTTCTCCAGCCTCAGCGACATCCACCTTCCTGCAGGCCTGCACTAGTGGTCCTCCGGAATGTTCCTAGGGAAGCAGAGGGACAGCCACAGTGCGAAGGGTGCCCCTGCACCCCGGCGGATGACGAGAGCAGCCTGAGCCCTGGGCCCGCCAGCCAGATGGGGGGGCACCGTCTGCGAAGGACCCATGGAGAGCAAGGGACAGAGGACAGGGGACAGGGAAGGCGACAGGCGGGGGCAGGAAGAAGGAACAGAGGGGGACAGGGATGGGACAGGGATGGGACTGGGATGGGACAGGCACGGGGAGAGGACTGTGCCCTCACAGCCCCGTGCTCGCATGGCCGCGCCCCTCCTCCTTTGATGCAGTCCCCGCAGGGCTGGTGGCAGGACCCGGAGGCCGCGCCCCCTTCCTGAGAGGGCTCAGTCTCCTTCCCCGAAGCTTCTGAGGTGTTACTTCGTTTCTTCTTGGGCTGGGGCTCTCTCCCGGCTCTGTGCCCGGGCCCACTCCTGGTGCGGACCGAGCCCTGTGGCTGTGCCAAGCCCCACCCAGGCGGAGCCGGTCTCAGGCCCCGCCCCTCCCGCAGCCCCTCTCACCACCGCCCGGCTCTGCCCCCAGAACGTGCTGAAGTTCACGGAGCAGGAGCACCCCGACTACTACCTCCTGCTGGTGTGTGTGCAGCGCCTGCGCGTCTTCATCGCCCACTACACGCTGCTCTTCCAGTGCAACGAGGACCTGCTCATCCAGAAGCGGAAGAAGCTCAAGAAGTAAAGAGGCCGGCCGGGGGCGGGCAGGCAGGGCAGGTGGGGCTGGGGAGGGGGCGGCGCCGCTCCCCAGGCGCCCTCCCACCGCGGCCGAGCTCAGGCCTGCGCCGGGCTCTACGCTCGGTGCTCGGTCTCTGGCAGGACTGGCGTTGGCCCGGAGAAGCCAGGGACGTGCTACCCACTGTCCTATCTCTCTGGCCCCACTCTTTCTTTTCCTTTTATCTTTTATTTATTTATTTGCTCTTTGGGTCACACCCGGTGATGCACAGGGGTCACTCCTGGCTCCGCACTCAGGAATTACCCCTGGCGGTGCTCAGGGGACCATATGGGATGCTGGGAATCGAACCCGGGTCGGCCGCGTGCCAGACAAACGCCCTACCGCTGTGCTATCGCTCCAGCCCCCTCTTTCTTTTCCTTTTAAAGGACAGTTTGTAAGAATTTTTACTCCTGGATACTTTTTTTTTGGATAATTTTTGGAGACAGGTTTTTAAACTCTTTTTAAAGCTCACACAGTATAAATGATTACAGTAACATCTCATCCACCGACTATAGGTAAGCCACTAGCAAATCTTTTTCTTTTCTTCTTTTTGGGTCACACCCGGCGATGCTCAGGTGTTACATCTGGCTCTGCACTCAGGAATTACCCGTGGTGGTGCTTGGGGGACCATATGGAGTGCTGGGAATCAAACCCGGGCTGGCCGCATGCAAGGCCAATGCCCTACCCGCTGTGCTATTGCTCCAACCCCACTAGTAAATCTTTTAAAGTTTTGTTTTGCTTTTGGGCTACACCTTAGTGATGCTCAGGGCTTCCTTCTGGCTCTGTGCTCAGGGCTTCCTGCTCGAGGGGCTCAGGGTACCATGTAGGTGCCGGAATTGAGCCCAGGTTAGCCACATGCGAGGTAAGCATCTTACCCACTGTACTATTTCGCCCGACCCTTTAAATTTTTTTTTTTAATTTTAGTCACTGTGATTTACATTTTATGAAAGTGTTGGTAAAACAGTTTCACGCATACAACAGCCCAATACCGCAGCCCACACCCGTATCTCCTTCCCTCCACTTCCCTCAGGGATCATACTCCATACCCCGACACCCACTCCATCTTTCATGAAGCTGATGTCTCTTAGACTAACTGGATTCGAAACTGCGGTTAAGGGGCTGGAGCACAGCGGGTAGGGCATTTGTCTTGCACGCGTCCGACCCAGGTTCGATTCCCAGCATCCCATATGGTCCCCCGAGCACCGCCAGAAGTGATTCCTGAGTGCAAAGCCAGGAGTAACACCTGTGTATCGCCAGGTGCGACCCAAAAAGCAAAAAATAAATAAGTAAAACCAAAAAACGTGCAGTTAAACTCATTGACACTGGCGCTGCTGCTTGTTTTTCTGACCTTCTGGTGACTTTATTCAATGAATCCCACCGTCTCTTACCAAGCTCTCAGCGCCATGGCAGTTTCCTATTTTCCAAACTGACCAGTGAGCTGTTGGACATATTCAGTGGCACGGTCTGTCCCATGAGAGCCACGTTGGCAGGTGCCAGATGTGGCCTCCTTGGTTAACCGGCAGTCACAGATGCTCCCCGGAGAACAGGACCAGAGTGAGGTGCCGGGTCGTGGGGAGGTCTGCTGGGAGCAGATTCCGTACAGACAGGAAACAGGGAACAGGAGGAAAACAGAATCATTTCCCGGGGGTTGAGTTTGCCAGCTCAGGCCCCTGGAAGAGGGCGTCCTGTCTCCCCCACGCCAGCTGAACCGCCTCTCTATGACTCTACCGGCCGGTCCACGGGAGCTTGGGCACAGGAGGGAGGGTGGGGGACAGCAGCGGGGCAGCCCCACATGCTGAGGGTCACCTTCCCACCCACAGGTCGTCCATGGCCAAGCTGTACAAGGGACTGGCCTCGCAGTGTGCCGGTGGTCAGGACGCAGCTACCGCGGGCCCTGAGGCTGTCCGGGACAGCGGCCTCCACCCTGAGGAGCTGCTGCAGCCCTACCCACCCGGGCCTGGTGGCGGGGCCCTCACGTAAGCACCTGTTGGTGTGGGCGGGCCGGGGTGGGCAGCCTGAGCCAGTGTCCCCTGCCCGACTCCCTCCCAGAGGGCCACTGCCCTGGGAACTGGCCCAGGGGGCAGCTGCTGTGGAGAGGTTCCCGGAGCATCTCCTCAGCTCTGGGCTGCGATGGCACGCCTCTCTTCTGCTCGCGGCCCCTTTCCAGCTCGGCCCGACTCTTACTAAGCTGCAGTTCACACTCGTTAAGCATTGTCTTGGCATCCTTGAGGTAAAGACTGGGCCAGTTCGGCTCTGGAGGAGGAGGGTGCAGCCAGTGGTCCCACGGGAAAGCGGGGCTCTTAGAACAGTCCTGGCTGCGCTGGCAGACCCTCTGCAGATTTCGTTACCTTCAAGAAAACACACAAGTCATGCAGAAAGCGGCACCCTCAGCGGTGTTCAGGAGGAGCTCCCGGCTCCCCTCATGGACCACTCCTGGCACAGCTCAGGGGAGAGCCTCTGGGCACGGGGAGTTGAACTGGCCTCAGCTGTGCACAAGGCAAGTGCCCCACCGCGAGCAATCTCTCTGGAGAAGGCACTGCTTCTGTTAAATGTGAAAGGTCCCAATCACTGTCAAGTTCAGGACGTCAACAGCAGTTGTTAGGAGGAACAACTGAGGGGCTGGAGGGAGAGGATAGCCAGGGGGGCACTTTCTGGCCTCGCACTCAGTCGACTCAGGTTCAGTCCTGGCATCCCTGAGCACGGAGCCAGGAGCCGCCCCTGAGCACTACGGGGTGTGTGGGGAACCAGGAACAACTGGTCGGCAATGGAAAACAAGCCTGACTTCCCTTCCCCAACTCTCATCGCTTCGTGAGAGAGGAGATGGCTGGGGGCAGAGAAGGGAGGAGAGAAGGACACTCAGAATCCACAGAGTGGCATCGAGCCGACCCAGGAGCTGGGCTGGATGGGCCCTGGGACAGAGGGTGCAGGGGCACCTGATGTGGCCGAGCCCAGCATAGGGCCGCGAGTCCTGTGGCCAGTGGGAGGCAGAAGGCCACAGCCGCTCTCTGAGCCCAGCAGCTGCTGGCTCATGGTTTCTTTTGGGGGTGGGTGGGTTTGGGGCCTTGCCGTGGCGTTCAGGGCCCGTTTCTGCTGGGTGCTCAGGAGTGACCTGGTGGTGCTGAAAGGGGGATGGACTCGTGTCAGGGACAGTTGGCAGCACGTGGGCAAGCGCCTGACCCCCGCACTACTGTTGGCCACTCCAGCCTAGGGAGCAGGAGCCAGGATGGGCGGGCTGGGCATCACTGACCCTCGCAGGACCGGGCGTGGCCTTTCTTCCTGTCCTCGGTGCTCTGGACCGGCACCCGTGTGCAGACAGACAGAAACACCAGGTTGGGTGGGTTCCTGGAGTCCCCACCACCAGGGCACCTGAGCCCCGCCCCCACGGCCTGTGGGATGCCGTCAGCCTTGGGGGGGGGTCCGGGGTCCAGCCCGCTCCACCCTGGGCCTCTCGGGGAAGTCAGGGTCTCCGCCCACAGGGGCTCTTAGGTTTGGTTCTAGTTTCGGGGCCAACACCGGGCAGTGCTCAGGGCCGGCTCCTGGCTCCGTGCTCAGCGGCCACTCCTGGAGGGCCCTGGGCGGGTGGGTGCGGGGGCTTGTGGGCTTCGTGACCGGAACGACCAGCGCCCAGGGGGTCGCGCCCCCCACAGGTCCAGTCCCAGAGCCCCGAACACCGCTCGTGTCCAGCGCGGGCGAGAGGCGGGCGGGCGGGCGGGCGGGGGCGCGCGCCCGCGGGGTGGCCGGCCCGGCCTAAGCCCCGTCGTGCGTCCTTGTCCCCTCTGAAGGCACCTGCTGGCCCCCGCCAAGAAGGGCCCGCCGCCGAGCCTGCTGGAGAGCCTGGCGCCCGCCAAGCCCGGAGACTGGGAGCCCGACGGCCGCAAGCACCCGCGGCCCGAGTTCTGCGCGGCCGAGCCCGACGGGAAGGCGCTGGCCGGGCCGCTGCAGGCCATCCCCGAGCTGGACTTCGAGCCCGCGCCGGCCGAGCTGGGCGCGGCCGAGCGCTCGCTGCGGGGCCCGGCCGAGCTGCTGGCGGACGCGCGCGGCGGCTTCGTGCCCGCCGCCTTCGACGAGTTCGAGTACGGCGGCGACCTGTTCGCGCTGCCCGCGCCCTACGACGACGAGCCCTTCCCCGCGCCCGCGCTCTTCGACGCCGGCTCGGCCGCCTCGTCCGAGTCCAGCCTGGACATCTGCTTCCTGCGGCCCGTCAGCTTCGCCGCCGAGGCCGAGCGGCCCGAGCCCGCGCGGCTGCCCAGGAGCGCCGCGTCGCCCGCGCCCGGCGCCGCCGCCCACCCGCTGGACGCGGCGGCGCAGGCCCACGGCAAGGCCAAGCCGCTGAGCCGCTCGCTCAAGGAGTTCCCGCGCGCGCCCGCGGCCGACGGCGCCGCCCCGCGCCTCTACAGCGCGCGCAGCAGCAGCGGGGGGCGCGCGCCCCTCAAGGCCGAGCGCCCCGCGGCCCCGCACGCGCCCGCCCGCGCCGCGCCGCGGACCTTCTTCCCCCAGCAGAGGTCCCAGAGCGAAAAGCAGCCCTACCTGGAAGTAAGGCGGGTAAAGTAACGCCCCCGGCCGGCGCGCGCGGGGGTCCCGGGACACGCGCCGCGGTCGCGCGGGCACTCGGTGGCCCGCCCGCCCCCGCCCCGCCACGCGCGCCCGGCCCGCGAGTGGGCCCCGGCTCCGCCCCGCCGCACGGCAGCGCTGCCCCCGCGGGGGGCGACGACGGGCGGGCAGGGAGCGGGACACCCTGCTGGCCAGGGCGGCCGGAGCCTCCCTGGGGGGTCGAGCAGGTGCGCGGCGGCTGCTGGGCGGAGCGGGGCGCGCCAGAACGCGCCGCCTTGCCCTCGGGGCTCGGGAGCGGCCGGCCGGGGCGGGAGCAGCCTGGGGAGCGGCCCCCAACCCCGCGGGTGGGCTGCGCGGCCGAGACTTCCCCTAGTTTAGCTAGGAAGCTGCCGGACGCTTTCCTCGCCTGTGCGCCCCGTCACGCTCCCGGCCGCCCGACGCGGACTCCAGCCGCTCCTCGGAAACCTCCGCCGTAGGCAGGGTCGGGTCCGGGGCCGCTGGCGGACGCACCAAGCACAGGGTGGTCAGAGGCACGGACCGCGGCCTTCAGCATCGCTGGCCGCTGGGCCGTGTGCGGGAGGGTCGTTCGGAGAGACCCCCAGAGGGGAACAGGCGGAGGCACGCGAACAGACGGCTTTGCTTTCAGTTATCAGTAAATTTTTCAAACTTGCAAACAGAGTTCACTTCCTTATTTCTGGCTTTGGGCACGGTTTTCCTTCTCCAGGAGTGGACCGGGCTGGGAGGCCTGCAGAGGGGCCGGGATGCTAAGGCTATGCGCGCACGCAGCTGGCTGTGCTGCGCGCGTGCGCGCGTCTGCCTGGGGGGAGCGCACGCAGGGTTGCCGTTGGGAGACCACCCTTCTCTGTGCCTGCTCCGTCGGGGCGCCTTGCGGGGCGCCTCCTGCGACAGACTCAGCCTCGCGCGCCGCCCTGGTCCTGCTCTGTCTCCTGCGAGGCGTGCGTGGCCGGGCGCCGCTGTGGCTCGGCGCAGAGTCGGTTTGTCGGTACAACCGGCTGCGCTGTTGCAAAGGGAGGGTCGGTGTGCAGCCGCTCTTTGTAAAGTAGGTCAGACCCCCAAACAGGGTCCCCTGAGCACACCCCAACACCCGCCTCTTAAACTGTCACCAGTTGGCGGCGAGCGTGTCCGGGTGGGGCTCTTGAGCACAGAGCCAAGCGGTTCTGCGGTTCCGAGCCCAGGTGACCCCAGGAAACAGAAGTGCAGGCGAACACGCTGGTTTTCAAAATCAAGAGGGAAGGAACCCCAGAGACCCTGGTTCAGGAGTCAGCGTTGGGGGGCGGGGCTCCCAAGCACTGCTGGAGGCCTGGGGGCTAGCTCCTAGCAATGTTTGGGGTGTGTGTGGGGGGGGAGGGCAGTGCTGCAGACCACCGCGGCCACCACCGCTGGCTGCCAGTGTCCAGGCTCCATCCCGGGGTACACAAATCCTGCATCCATGTAGCAGCAGCTCTCTCCCAGACAAAGGCCATTTGACAGGTCCTTGGCGCTGAGGAAGTCAGGTCACCAAAACTGCAAGTCTGTAGCTTTGTTAGGAATCTTGATAGTCTCAGGATCTCCAGACACCTGCGAACCCCAAATTAAGTCTCTAAGATACCCAATTTCCTGAACCCTCCCATCCCCACAGTGACCCAGCCAAGTCCTGGAGTGTCCAGGCCAATGTGGTGTGTGTGTGGGGGGGTCCTTCATCTGCTTTGTGGTCCCACTGGAAGGGTCTCTGAGGCTATGCAGAATTACTTGCTCTGTGTGTTTTTGTTGGCAGTGCTGGGGGGCGGGCGCTAGGGCATCACCCATGTGGGGGACGCACCCCCGGGGCAGTCAGGAAGGAGGGGCAAGCGCCCTAGAGGTGGGCTTGCCCGTGGTGTTCTGGCCACAGCACTGGCCCTGCTCCCTCCCCGCCGCATCTGCATCTCCACCAGTCCATGGTCTCTGCTTGTCCAGTCCCCAGCACTCGCCCCACTGCGGCCCGGCTAGCATGGTGGGAAAGACCCCTTTCTACTGCTGAGGTTTGCGTCGCCTGGAAGGGGGTGTCCGCTGGTCGGGTGGCTGAGCAAGGGAGGTCAGCAAACTGTCCCACCGTCCCGAGCCACACGGACCACGGCGGGAATCCCAAAACAGCCCTCTTTTGTGTTTTCAGGAGATGCATTTAGAAGATGCCACCAGATTCTGCCCAAAGGACGAGAGAGAAAGTGAACAAACATCTTTCAGCGATCAGAACCCCAGGCCAGACCAGAAAGGGGGGTTCCGCAGCTCCTTCCGCAAGCTCTTTAAAAAGAAGTGAGTAGCCCTTAGACAGGCATCTGGCGACCCACTCAGGTGGGGCCTGCCCTGCCCACGCGCCCCCACACCGCAGAGAGGTGCCCCCTCTCTCCTCCCCCAGTCAGGTCCCGAGAAGGGGGAGGAACGGGGCGGGGCAGGAAGGGCGCGAGCTGAGGGGGACAGCAGAGCCCCACCCTGCAGGCTCATGACCTGGCTGGGCGTGTCCACCCTCCATCAAGGCCCCTCCCTGGCCTCGTCACACTTGGTGTCAGCAGGGCTTGGGAGGTCGGGAGGGACGGTGAGCGGGGCGGTTTCCGCTGTGCGGTTGTATGCAGGAACCGCGGTGCTGGTGGAAGACCCACGCGAGACCGTAGGCGACGTGTGTCTCTTCTGGGGGCGGCGGGCAGCCCCCTCTGAACCCCTGCGGGTCCCTGGGAGGAGGCGCCCCCTTGTGGGGGAGAGGCGTTGGGAGTGCGCGTGGGCGGGTGGGAGAGGCCCAGAAGCGGCCTGGGATGTGTCTTATTCCTGCGCCAAGCCTCTGTTCTGTGAGTCTCAGGATGCGCTTTGCGGCAACCGAGGCCTTGTGAGGGTGCCCCGTGTCCCCCAGGGTGCCTGGGAGGGCGCCCTGGGCAGTTGTAGCCTGGGTCGCTGGAGGTCGCCTGGTGCCCACCGCTGCAGCCTTGGCACCTCTGCTTGGCGCCTGCTGTGCTGGGCTGGGCTCCCCGGTGGTCCCTCCTGCATCCCTGGGTGCTGACCCCAGCAACCCCGGGGTACTGCCACTCGGTTTCTCTGTCCTGGCACTGCAGGGGGTGCTGCCCATTGCATGCCTGGGGTCACAGTGGCCACGCAGGGGACGCAGCATGACCTAGAACAAGCCAGAATTGCCTTTCTTGAGTGTTTTCCTTGGGGACCAAGGATGTTGGCCAACTCTGCTCCAGTGCAGGGGCAGGCGGGGGAGACCAGGGGCGCCCTGAAAGGCCCAGTGCTTCCCTTGGGCACGGATCGAAACACTCTCGGTGGTTAAGCGCCGCCCTGGCCTGTTCTGTGGTGGACGCTTGGGTCCGGACGGAGTGAACCGGGGCGTAGGAGGCTGTGGCGGCCGTGTGTGGGCGGAGCGGGGAAGAACTTGTGCCAGTGTGCCAGCGCCAGCCCTCCCTGCCACCGCTGGGCCCTGCTCTTGCTCCCAGGGCCCAACCTGGCCCGTCCTGTCCAGCGGCTGCCCGTGTCCCCCCTGGGGGTGCAGGTCTGTCGACACTGACACCCGTTTTGTATCCCCAGGGGCCTGTTTGGCTGGTGGCCCCACACGCCCAGAACGCAGCTCCGGGACGAGGCTGGGCATGGAGCCAGGGGCCGCAGCAACCCCGCCAAAGGGTTCTCGTCCCTGTGAGGCGGGGACAGGGCCAAGGCACAGGCGCGGGCACACCTGTCCTGGGCAGAGCCGTGCGTCCGCCCGAGGAACGATGACCTCACCTCGGGCTTGCGAATGCCAAGTGGCTTTAAGCAGTTTTAAGGAGGATTTTTGGAGCCGGGCAGAGCCTTAGTGCGCTAGACGGATGCTGGACTGAGTCTGGAGTCTCGGAGCCGGCTAGAAGAGAGACAGTCCCCTTCTAGAAGGATCTCTGTCCGAGCCGTACCGCAAAGACCGCCCTGAAGCCTGGGCGGATGCTTCTCCGCCTTTCACCTTGCACACATGTGGACAACAAATGCTCTTGGCTGGGCAGAGGGTCAGTGAGCGGTTCGGGGGTGGGGACAGAGGGCAGAGTGCAGGGTGCCGAGGCTGCCTTTCTCTGTGCTCCGAGCTCTCCTGCCTCCTGCCACAGTCCCAGCCACACCTTCTGCCCAAAGCCAAGCGAGATTTGGGTCCCCCGGGGGACCCCTTTGCGTGCCCTGTGCCACCTGCAGAGCCTGCTGGCCGCGGAGGAAGGGCCCGCGGGAGCTTCAGCCTCCAGGGCCCGTGAGCTGCTCCCGCGCCCTGCCCCGGGCTTCCCACTCTGGGCGTCTCCCCCATTTCTCGTTGCATCCCCCTCTGAATGCTAAAGTAGAACACAGTTGCAGGGGTGACTTTTGGGGTGCCGGCATCTGATTCCAGTGTTTCTCACGAGGTGACTCGCTTCTGCCCAGCGCGAGAGGAGGGCAGCTCGCTGTGACCGCTCCTGTGTTCTGGGGCTCGGGGCCGACTGGCCAGTCTCTCTGGCCACAAAGCCCTTCTCGAGGCCGTAGGACTCTGCACTGGTTCCCCTCGTGCCCTTCCCAGGGCGAGTCTGTTGCCAGCTTCCTCCCGTCTGGGTGCCCCACACGGCTGCGGGCCCTGGCCAGTGGAGGGAAGAAAGGTGGCAGGGTGCCCGCAGCCCCTGGACAGTGGTCTGGGTGGACAGGGCAGGCAGGTGGCTTTGCTCGGCCCCTTCCACCAAGCGGTTCCTGTCTGTTCCTGGGCATGGGTCGCGCCTGCCCCTGCTCTGCGGGTATGTCGCAGGATTGTGTCCCCAGCAGCTGTGCCGCAGGGAGCGTCCGGGGCTGTGGCCTCTATGAGCCGGTGACGCTGCTGCGTCTCTCGTGGCTCAAACTCAGATATTTACTTGGCTCATACTCGGGCCAGTGTGCGAAAAGGCTGGAAATGAGTTTGCAGTCGTGGGCAGGAGCCGGTGTGGCAGGGGCGCACCACAGGAGGGTAAAGCAAGAGCTGAAGTGCAGAGAGGCCGGCCCAGGGGGACCGGGGCTGAGCGTGGCAAAGAGACAGGGCGATTTTGGCATTTGTTTCAGAGATGGGAACGCAGCTGGTGAAGATTTCTGTGGTCCCTGGGGCTGGTGGTGACATCAGAGCTTTCCCATGTCCAGGTAAACACTGCACAGTTGCATGTTAGAACCACGCAGGTGCGCCGTGTCGGGCTCTGGAGAGAGGAGGCTGCAGCTCAGAGGGGACTTGGTGCTCGCAGGACTCAGGAGCTGGGCAGATCCGCTTCCTGGGCTGCCTCAATGCAGACATAAGATGTGTGGCAGGAAGGAAGGACAGAAGGAGCCAGGAGGAGCCTCACCCCCTTGGGTGTGGCGGCCCAGATGTCAGTGGGCGTCCTGCGGGTGGGCCTGGCAGACTCTTCCGAGGAGGGGGGTGGGATGCAGGAGGGGGCCCCTTCCTTATGTGATGAGTACCCGAAGAACGGGCTGACGGACGGACGGATTTTCCTCTCTGCTCTGGGATCAGTGGAGAAGTGCTTCTGCTGACGGTGGTCAGGAGCCGCTGGCCACCCAGATGACCTGTTGCCAGTGGGAAAATCTGGTTGTCACCAGGTGTCTGGATATCAGGATTTTGTATTTTGTGTGGAACTGACATGTGTCCTTGACTCATGCCAAGGGCTGTCTGAATTCTGACCCTTCGCCAGTGAATGCCACAGCCGGCAGAACCTTTGTAGGTCAGTGACAGGGAAGGACCCTGCCCCTCTCTGGCACAGAGCACCCACCCCTGACTCCTCCGTGGGCCATGCTGGCACGAGGCCGTGCCACCCTGGTTCTTAGCCCCTTCCCCAGGCCAGGCTTCCTCCTCCCGCTCAGAGTTGAATCTGCCCAAAGCACCCAGCTCGTTTATGAGGGGCTCTTTCCGGCAAGCCCCACTCCAGGGCTCCAGGCTCGGGCACGCTGGATGGGCGCAGAGATCGAGCGGATCCCAGCGGGCTGAACCAAGATAATGTGAGAAGGTACTGCGGCCGGGCCTCAGTCGAACCCACTGGGGTCATTGGCTGTTACCGGGCCATCTCCTCTGGCTGCCGAGATGGCAGGTGGTCTCACTCTGGTCACTGTGCTCACTTCTGCTTCCTACCCAATGTAGCATGTGTGTGTGGCTGGCTTCAATAAATCTCTCCTTTAAAAATGAAAACAAGCCAAGGCAAGAGTTTGTAACGTAACCCCAAGTCAGTGAGATGACGGGCATTGGTGGGGGCTGTATATTCCATCCTGATTAAGGCATGGACTTTGGTCACTTGCAGAGGAGTTGCTGGGGTGAAATCAAAACCAGTATTTCATGAATTTCCTGAGCTTTTATTTCCCTAGTACAAATATCTTACACTGACACACAGTGATCACAATTGTCCACATAAAATACTGGAAAAATTCTTTCTTATGTTCAGTGCAGTTTTAGTCATGCGTATTCTTAGCTGTGAAATTCAGGGGAAGTAAGACTTACCCCAGACCTAGCGGCAACTGTTTTACAAATGCAAAGCAATTTGGATAGCTGAAAATATCTGAAAACAATTCAAACCAAATCAATCTGTACTTTATCTGTGTGCTGAGATTTTAGGTCCAGTGGATCAGAATACAGGGAAAAAACTAATGAGAGCCCCTCAATGGATCCTTCACCCACCACACAAGATTTCTTCAGAAACCGACTTGCTCTTGCAAATGACCTTGACCAAGGAACAGCTGTGTAAAGCATAAAGTTGTGTTGCCAAGTGGTCCGATGAGGCTAAAAGGCGTGTGCTATCGTGTAGGAATCCTATCTACCTAGATGTACAAACCCTGAGGAAAGCCCATAGAAATATTTCCTATGAAACTAAGTCGGCACACAAGACCGTGAAGATGTGAAGCTTAGTCTGTGGTTGGGAGCTGACTTTGGAACCTCCACACTCGGGAAAAGGGAATGAAGACCGTTCACTGCGTGATAGCAAAACAATGGAGGAAAATAAACATTTGTAAGAACGAAAACTTCCACCTTGAAGTCCTTGCCCCGGTATGGGACGCGGCGTGCCTGGGCTGAATGTGGCTACAGCCTTTTGCTCGTTTGTTCGTTCCGTGCTCTCGGACTCAGACGTGCCCCATGAGTGGCTGCTTCTCCCTACCACGTGTCTCTCCCAAAGCCCCAACGATGGTTTTCTTTTCTTTTCTTATTTTTTTCTTTGTTTTGCCACACCTGATAATGCTCAGGGTTACTCCTGGCTCTGCCTTCAGGAATTCCTCCTGGTGGTGCTCTGAGGACCTTATGGGATGCTGGGGATTATTTGGGTCAGCTGCATGTCAGGCCAGCGCCCTGCCCACTGTGCCATCCTTCCAGTTCCCCAAAGCAAATATCAGATAACAGAATCCAATCTCCTGCCCCAGTCTGAGTGGTGGAGAACTGTGTTGACTCATGATGCAGAAGATGCATGCTGATTCCCAGGCAGGAAGCGAGCTCCAGACCAGCATTTCCCTCGCTGAATGGTCCAGAGAGTCGGCGCGGTGAACAGTGCTCTCTGGAAACTAACTGCAGGTCAACACAGCGTACCTGCTGCGGGGGGAATTGGATGCAGCTGGGCAGAGTCCAGGGCAGCCCGAGTGTTCTGGGTTTGCAGTTCACTAGTGAGGCTCCGTAAGGCAGCTTCCAGACAGATGGACGGAGGCACCCAGGTGGCTGCTCATGTGGCCGCAGACGGGGGCAGCCCAGGTCTGTGTCTGGGGCTTCTGCAGTGCCCTCCTGTGTGTGCCAGGGCAAGTTGCTAAGAAATCAGACTCAGTTCTGCGAGGGGGGCCCGGCTGTGGCGCTTGCCACTGGGTATTTTGGAAATACAATGTCCAGCATCAGCATCTGTAGTAGGTCCCAAATGACAGTCCTAACAGAAAAACATCGGGTTCTAGTTTGCTCTCGTCCTGGGCAGGTTTGGGGTCTGGGTCCAGGCCATGCCAAATCATTGTGCGCAATTTGGCTTCCCCAGAGGCTGTTCCTCCAGCTGCTCGGGTTTCAAATTGCCTTCACTCCTCTGATGACTAATTAGGTCCTTCCTCCCTTAGGGTTTCCAACAGTAAATTTCTAAAAATACTTAAGGGTCGCTTCCCAGCTTTCAGCGTTTCCAGTATTTCGGAGTTAGAGCTGAGCTTTGTATTTTCTGAAATTAACTCCCTTTGACATTAATAGGTCGAACTCTTGTCAGGTCAAAAACGTTTAAGGGGGTGGTAGAGGGTGGGCAGCGCCTGAAAGCAGTGCCAGACTGGCTGGGCGTGGGGAGTCAAACAGATGTCACCGCTGTCACAAATGCAAGGAAACCAGAAAATCCCTCTCCACTCGGTAGTGTGGGTCATATGGAAGATGATCCCTGGGAAGAAGATGTCTCACACCTCTCAGCCTTCACCTGGTCCTAGGAAGCTTTGATTTTACATTGTAGCACCACTGGGAGGTTACATCATAGTTGCATTGTAACACCCCAGGAGCTACATTATAGTTATACTGTAGCACCCTCTCAGCTGCTACATTGTAGTTATACTGCACACTGTAGTCATACTATTGTATCCTATCAGTTGCTACTTTTCCCCTACACTGTAGCCCTCGTCCAGGAGGGCGTCTGTGGTTCCTGCTCCTTTCCTGGAAGCCCGACTGTCTTCCCCTGCTCCCCAGCCTTCCTTTCTCTCTCCCCCGGCTGTGCGTGTCTGCCACTGGCTCAGGCTCCGTAGCCCAGAGCGTGATTGGGCATCTTGTCTATCTCACAGGGACATGAGTCAGCTGCATGCCAGGCCAGCGCCCTGCCCACTGTGCAGGAGCTGGGTGGGTCTCTCTTTCCCTCTCTGCCTCTAGTCAGCACCCAGCAGTGCTCCCTGAGTGCCAAGAATCCTGGGGGCCCCACACCCTGCAGCCGGCAGAGGCTACCGCAGTGACAAAGAGCTGCGAGGGGCCATGCTCTCCCTCTGCCTTTTGACTTTTTAAAAGAAAACGTCCCAATCACAAAGGAAATAAAATAGCTCTTTGCAGACACGGTGGCGGGCATCATGCCTGCCTGCCCTCCCAGCACGTGGCCCTATAAACACCTCTCCATGACAAAGTAAGGGCCAGGGCAGGGGGAGAGGGTGGGAGACGGACACAGCCTCTGTGAGAGATAAGAGATGAGATTCCCCACCCCCTGAAGTGGTGATGTTTTGGTTTTGGGCCACACCTGGCAGTGGCTCTGCACTCAGGGACCACTTCTGGCAGTCTTGGGGACCATGTGGGGTGCTGGGATGGCACCCAGGTCGGCCTGTGCAAGGCGAGGGCTCTCCCCACTGTCGTTCAGGCCCTGGAGTGGCTGTTTTTGAGGAGCTGGGGGTGGGGGCTGGGGGCGAGCCAGGCTTTGTGCGTCCACACTCTGGGGGCAGCTGGCCTGCACGGGACATGCAGTGACACTGGCCTGAGCCTCAGGGAACCCCCGGGCCTCACCTCCTGGGCATCTTTCACAGTGAGGGCACCGGTAAAAATGCAGATTTGGAGGTGCAGTGCCAGGCCTTCCTCTCCAGTGTTTGGGAGGAGTTTGGGGCTAAGTGCACTCAGCTGGTTCTCAGGCGCTGCGGGCAGAAGCCGGCTCTGCTTGCCCAGGTCAGCACCCAGAGGGTGCTGCACCCACACACGCAGGCAGGGGCTCCAGGGGAGGCTGGGACTCAGGACTGTGGCCCGGTGAGTCTCATGGGTGGGGGAGGAAGGGGAGGAGGGGACAGATTCAACCAGGAAGCAGGTTTAAAAAAAGGTGAGAAAGTAGATAAAGGCTTTTTTTTTATACTTTTTTTTTTTATACCAGGGTCCACACCAGGTGGTGCTCAGGGCTCACTCCTGGAGGGGCTCAGGGGACCCTATGGGGTGCTGGGGATTGGCATTGCAAGGCAGGTGCCCTGCCCATTGTATATTCACTTTGGCCCCGGCCACCATGTATTTAAGGGGAACCAAGTTGATGTGCAGCATTAGGCCTGAGTTTTATTTTTTATGCATGATAGTCTTCTTTTTATTTTTGTAATTACTTAAAAATGTAAATGCCATTCCTAGGCCTTTGACTTTTTTTTTTTATTGAATCACACATTACAAAGTTGTAGGGCTGGAGCGATAGCACAGCGGGTAGGGCGTTCGCCTTACACGCGGCCAACATGGCCGACCCGAGTTCGATTCCTCCGCCCCTCTCGGAGAGCCCGGCAAGCTACCGAGAGTATCCGATATGCCAGACACAGTAACAACAAAGTCTCCAATGGAGACGTTACTGGGCCCGCTCGAGCAAATCGACGATCAACGGGAGGGCCTTTACCTTTACCTTTACCATGATTGGGTTTCAGCCCTGCAGTGTTCCAACACCCATTCCTTCACCAGTGCTCATTTCCTACCACCAGTGCCCCCAGTTTCCCTGCCCCATACCCCCCGCCTGCCTCTATGGCAGGCATATCTCTCTCTGTCTCTCTGTCTCGGTCTCTTGGCCCAAGTTCTTTTTTTTTTCTTTCTGGGTCGCACCCAGCGATGCACAGGGGTTACTCCTGGCTCTGCACTCAGGAATTACCCCGACGGTGCTCAGGGGACCCTATGGGATGCTGGGAATCGAACCTGGGTCGGCCGCGTGTCAGGCAAATGCCCTACCCGCTGTGCTATTACTCCAGCCCCCCCTTGGCCCAAGTTCTAGTAAAAGAGAACATAGAGGCTCTAGGCAGGGCTTAATATGATCTTTTGGGATCTTGTCATCCAAAATAGCCACAACTTTTGTGTCCAAATCAAATATCCTGTTTCCAAACTGTCGTTCCCAAGAGCTGGGGGTCTGATCTTGTGTGTCATCTACACGCGTTTATCTGGAAGTTTCTGCTTCTCGTCTCAGACTGCTGCGTGAATACGGGCCATCCTTAGAGGAAATGGGGCTATGTCGGTTTCCCTCGCCGGGTGCCGATTGTGAGCACACCGGGGCCTGCCGGGGAAGTGGGGTCGTGGTCCCGGGAGCGCACAGGGCACCAGCACGCAGCTGCTCTTGTGGCTGAGACAGACCCCGGCGCACCTTCTCCTGTGTCAGGCTGCCCCGTCACTGGGTCTCACCTGGGACCTCCCTCCCGTATTGACACGAAAGAAATCTTCCCTGCTCCAGCTGAGCCTCAGATCTCAGTGCTGCTAGTAAAGTGAGGGACAGTTGTGGCCCCTCACCCCGTCTGGGTCCCTGCACGAGTCTCTGTCCCCTCCGAATGGCCGGCTGTAGTCGTCCTGAACTCTCCCTTCTCGAGCCTCTTGGCTGTGCTCCCGGTCCCCCGTCCCTGGCAGTTGGTCCCTCCTGGTCCGTTCCCTGGCCCTCAGCGCGGGGCTGCTGGGTTCACCTGTCTTGTCTGTAATGACCTCATGGGTGACCGGATCCAGCCGGTGGCTCTCATTTATGCCTTGGGGTTGGGGATGTCTCTCCATGGACCTGGTGTTTGACCCCCAGCAACAGGAAACGAAAACAAATCCCTTTATCCAGAGGGATACCTCACAGGCGATCAAGAGTCCTGGGTTCGAGTAGCTGATGAGACTGGTTGGGGACCTGCTTGCCCCTGGGGCCCCCTTTGCAGCCTCTCAGTGGCCCGAATCCCTGATGAGATCTGGGCTGAAATTCAAAAGAAGGGGCCCTGGCTCAGGTGGCTGGGATGCGCAGGGCCCCCGGGGCCCCGAGTTCTGCAACCCCTGGGCTGCCGGGTGTGGGGGGGGGGTGGAGCCTGCCCTCTGTGCCACAGCTGCAGCCCCAAAGGCGCCGTCCGGGTAGAGCAGAAACCGCCACAATCTTAACCGCAGGCTTGGGTTTGATGAGTGTCAGCCTGAACATTCTCCCGCAGCGATTTAACAGGCTCTGTGAGGTACGTGGATCTCACAGTGCTTGGAAACAGAACTTAGACAAGTGAATGATGGCAGGGGTGTGTGTCGGGCTCACGAATGAATTTCAGGGTTTCCTGAAACCTGGACGTGGCAGGAATCCAAACCGAGTTAATGGGCCCAGCCACTGATCGCCACGTGATGCTGGTCCAGCCACTTCCTAGCCTTGCCTTTTCGGAAGGAACACCGATTTTCTAAAGATTCCGTGCTTCAGCACAACTGGCCTCGCATGGGCCACTCCTTGTGGTGTGCATCTGGAAACGGCCCCCTTTCCTGCCTCCTGGGAACTGGGGAGACCAGTTTAGAGTTCTAAAGAGCTGATTTCCATTTCCAAGGCCCCCGGCGACTGCAATCCTGACACTTGCTGTGGAAGGAAATATGGGAATTCTTCTATGAGAACCTGATAGGAGAATTAGTGTCTCAGGGAAGGGAAGGGGCAAACTATTCATGGTTCGGGGCTGGAGTGATAGCTCAGCGTGTAGGGCGTTTGCCTTGCACACGGCCGGCCCAGGTTCAATTCCCAGCATCCCATATGGTCCCCTGAGCACCACCAGGGGTGATTCCTGAGTGCAGAGCCAGGAGTAACCCCTGTGCATTGCTGCGTGTGTCTCAAAAAGCAAAAAAAAAAAATTCATAATACAAGCTATGAATTACTAATAACATTCAGGTATCACCAGTTCTCGTGCCATGCAGATAAGATGGTCACTGGGAGGCCATGGGTCCACTTTCTCCCAGCATATCAGCATGTTGTCAATCTATTTTTTTTTTTTGCTTTTTGGGTCACACCCAGCAATGTTTAAGTAGTAATGAAATGTTTAAAACTAAGTCATCATGTTCCCTTATAAATAATTTTACCAAATAATTCTTTTAGCCAAACCAGTGTGTGTGTGTGTGTGTGTGTGTGTGTGTGTGTGTGTGTATGTGTGTTTGTGTGGAAGGGGGCACACCTGGCGATGTTTAGGGGTTACACCTGGCAGTGCTCAGGGGACGGTATGGGGTGCCGGGGCTTGAGCCTGTGTCAGCCTCATGCAAGGCAAGTGCTCTACCCGCTGGACTATGGCTCCAGCCCCTCAGCTAAACCGATATTAACATTGTGATGCTCATTTTACTGGTAAATATTTATGTGCTGTGCAACAGGACTGACACTTGTACAACAGCCATACAATATAGATTAAAATAATAAGCGGGGGCTGGAGAGATGTTAGATACAGCAGGTGAAGCATTTGCATGCAGCTGACCTGGGATCCATCCCCAGCATCCTGTGATCCCTCACTGGGTGTGACTCAAAAACTGAAATAAGCGAACCTACCCGTCGCAGCAGAATACCAAGAAGCGAATGGTGATTTTCTACAGCTGGAGAGGAAGGAAAGGCTTCCATTACGACAGCGTAAAAGAGCTCAGGACACCTTCCCTCAGCCGACATTTATTTTGCTGAGCCACTTAAAACTTCGAATACAAGCGATCATAAAAGGAAAATGATGACAATTGTGGCTAAAGAAAGCACAGCTTGAGAATTAAGACATGACCATAGATACTGATTTTTGATTTATGGAGGAAAAAGGCATTGAGTCTTTGGAAGCACCACGTAGCCTCCCACTCAAAGAGTTCTGTCCCCACAATATCGGTCATATCACATTAGCATGGCACACTCAAATTCGATTTCCACTCAAATCCATCAATACATCCTCCAGTTTAGATCACAGTAACGTATTAGCCACATAATTTGATACCGAGTGGACTTTTACGCAATTTTCTATACCTTGCATATTTCCTGATCATCTTAATTTTAAAATACAGGACTCATTCTTATTTTTATTTTTTGCTTTTTGGGTCACACCCGGCAATGGCCAGGGGTTACTCTGCACTCAGGGATCACCCCTGGCGATGCTCAGGGGACCCTATGGGATGCTGGGAATCGAACCCGGGTCGGCCGTGTGCAAGGCAAACGCCCTCCCCGCTGTGCTATTGCTCTAGCCCCTCATTCTTATTTTTAAAATAAAGGACTCTATTTGGAGGACAAGAGTGAATAACCTTTCAATAAATTTGGAAATGTATACCTAATTGTTGCTTCTTTAAAAATGCTTCAGGATGAAGCGCCTCTTTCTACTATTGACCAGTGCATTTAAACAAATTCATCCTTGGAATCTTCCTGTCCTGAGCCAGAAGTAAACGGTTTAGGACCTTCCCCTCGGAGTGTTCCCTTTGGGGCTGTGCTTTCAGAAAGTCCCGCTGTGGTGATTTGTCTCTGAGTTCGGCAGGTCAGTGGTGACGCATTCATCTTCCTGACCACTTCTTTTTTTTTTTTTTTGCTTTTTGGGTCACACCCAGCAATGCACAGGGGTTCCTCCTGGCTCTGCACTCAGGAATTGCTCCTGGAGGTGCTTGGGGGACCCTATGAGATGCCGGGGACTGAACCCAGGTCAGCCGCGTGCAAGGCAAACGCCCTACCCGCTGTGCTATTGCTCCAGCCCCCAATACAGACTTTAAACTGTATGTACGTTGTGCAAGAAATGAGGAAACCTGTCTAAAGTCCTGTTAAGAGCCCACCCTACCCCAGCGCAGCCTCTCCCGCCGGCAGCCTGTCTCTCTGCTCCTCCCGAGGGCATGTCCACTCCGCAGTCGCCAGGGCGGCCCCCAGCGCCACCTTTATGCTCAGAGCTCGTGTGGGTTTCAGTGGAAAGAAACGAGAACCAACCACTTTGTCCATATAATAATTTAATATATGACAGCCAAACAAAGTATCTGTATCTTTATTCAATTAAATTAAAACAGGCCTGCCAATTATATTATTGAACATTCACTATATACACGTGACCAGGGCGCACCCGGGAACACGAGCCGCGGGGAGGCCGGGCAGGGGCCGCGTCCCCCTCGCGTGGCAGGGGGCCAGTAAACTCTCGTGAGGGGACGGGGCGGCAGCCTCGCACTGATGAACAGTCCAGAACGGGAGTCGGCTGCCCGACAGCTGCCGCTTCCGAGTCCTTCCGTGCCGGTGGCCCGGCCTCTCCCCGCAGCCAACGCCACGTCTCGTCTGTCGGGAGGGTGGAGAATGTTCCTAAACGGGGATCATTATTCTTAAAAACAAAAACAAAAGTACCTCTTTGGTGAAGCCTCGGCGCCCACCCGCACGCAGGCTGCGGTCCCCGCCGGCCGACTGCTCAGCCCCTCGGTGGCTAGAAACTACTCTGGCGCAGGGCCGGGCGGAGGGCACGGGCGCCCGCCCGCCCCGTCGGAGATTCCTTCTTACAAAGTGCATGAGAGTCCGAGTTACAAAAACCGTCATCACCGGCCCGAGTCCCGTCCCTCGGTCGCGAGGCCACGGGAGAGGCCTGTGGCCGCCGTCCAGTCCTCTGGCCCGGGCTCCCCTCGACGGTCACTCGCGCTGACCCTTGGGCCGGGTCCTGCTGCCTGGAGGCGGTGGTCGCTGTCCGGGAGTCAGGAGGAGTGGGCGTTCTCCAGCAGCGGGGGCCCGTCCCTGTGCACGGACGGGTGCGTGTGCTCCCGTTTGTAAGTTTTTGGCGGGAGTTTGGGGATGAGCTGCGAGGTGCTCTGCCGTGGGGGCACGGGCGGCCCGGGGGCCGGGTGCGGCGCCGCCTGGGAGGCGGGGGGCGAGGGCAGCTGTCTCCGGGGGCCGTGGGGGGACGGCGGCGCGAACGGGGAGGGGCTGTTGGGGAAGAAGGCGTTGCCGTGGTCACTCTTTTTGCCCAGCGGGGGGGGCTGCAGGTGGAGCGGGGAGCTGGAGAAGACGTCGGGGGTCCGCACGGGCTCTCGCGGCGGCACCAGCGGGGGGCTGGGGCTGTCGGGGGCTTCCGACAGCGAGTAGCGCGGGGAGTAGGCCTTGGCCGTGGGCTGCCGCGGGGGGATGGCGGGCGGGTTGTCCAGGTGCTTGGACATCATCTGCACGGGAGGAAAGGACGCGCGTGAGGGCCTGCGCGGCGGGATGTGCGAGTCACGGCGGCGTCTGCGCGCGGGCCACTCACGCAAGCCGGGCTCGGGGCTCGGGCCTTGTGTTTCCAAGGGGCTGCCTGCTAGCTCATTAAACGGTGATTTTTCTCAATTATCTTACTTTGTAAGTTATTTTTCTCAACATCTGCTTGGTCGTGCTTACCCCAACATAAAATCATTTCCGAGTTAAGTTGCCAGTTGACAGTGTTAAAATCACAGGGCATTTCCCGAGGCTCTGCGTGCTGTGCTCCGCGCAGTGGCACGGAAATGAGGTGGACCAAGGGGCAAAGGAGCCCCAGGAGCCTCCCGAGGCGCGAGGGGGCAGACAGGGCTTTGAGCGTGGGCTGCAGCCCGTGCCCCCTCCCACGCCCTCAAGGCAGGCACGCAGGTCACCACCGAGGGACACTCCCTCACTGTCTGGCTCGAGAGACCAAACCTGCTTTCCCACCGCACCCACAGCTGAGATTAACCAGGGTTTTGGACACATGCCCCCCACCGGCCCCCCGGAAGACCCCCACTCTCAGGAGCAAAGCATCACCCATGCCGCGAGCGCCCTGCCCCCTGCCCCCTGCCCCGGGGCCCGGGCAGACCCCGGTAACCGGGTTTCTGCTCTACCTTAGATGGCGACGACTCCGCCGGCGCCGATTCTGGCCGTCTCCGCGGAGGAACGGGCGGGGGTACAGACGCCCCGTCAGTGCCCCTCGAGAGGCTGATAGATGACACGGAAGCAGACCCTGTGGGAGGCCACAGTTTCAATGCGCAAAGTTCAGAACCGTCATTTCACTACTAGCCCTGAAACGGTTTAGCTGGACATGGCTCGTATTTTTTCTAAGAAATAGAGTATAAAAAGCAGTCCGACAAGCTAGAATTTCCTTTATTAGAGCAGAATGCAAAAGAAGCATGCAGAATTTTCAGGGGGGGGAAAAAAGCTGCCAAAGACAGTTATTTTGCTTCTTGAACAAAATAACCACCCCACTGTTACTCTTATTAGAATTTCAAATTTGAGTCTGAATCTCAGATTACCGGAAGAGAAAATATTAGTTTCTAATACTGGAGCACTGATTTCTGTTAAACTTTTGCTGATGGACGCATTAACCGTCTCCCTCCGCCGTCCCCCAGACTTCCTGGGACTTTCCTAGCGCCCACTGGGAGCCCTTCAGAGGGGTCTAGCAGGATCCTCGTGGCTCTCAGGGGTCCCGGGGGAGGGGCACGCCTCATGTCACTAGGCTGGGCAGAGGTCCCCTCGGAGCTCGGCAGGCCCATCTCACTCTAGACCCACGGCCTGGCAAGGGGCAGACCACTGAAGGGGCCTGAGGCAGCAGGTCCAGGGAGCCAGTTTCAAGGCACCTGCAGAGAGGTGAGTCAGACCTCCAGCTGGAACCGATCTTAGACATCAACGGCGGTCATTCTACTTTGAAAGTCATCCATAAAATTGAGAGCCAGTTTGCAAAAATGATTAAGAATATCTGAATAAAACTTCAATCATTCAAAATTAAAGTACTTGGCAGGTTCTTTTTTTTCCTTTAATGGTTGCTTCATTTTGTCAGTTAAACAATGTAACAAGTAGAAGTTTTCAAAAGAGTGCTCTGTGTACTGACAGTATTTAAAATGATCAATATTTTGATCACCAACCTTTTTTCTTAAGAGATGTTCTAAGTTAATGTAGCTTATAATTATTTTCTAATGTTTCCATTTTGAAGTCATTTGTACGAAAAGACAAAAAATTTACCTATTTAAAATCATGAAATAAATTGTTAGTTTATGTTAGGATGAATGGCAGATATCAACAATGAAAATTTATTTTGCTTGAGTGATGAATACATAGGCCACGTTACTCGAGTCACAGTTAAGATGCTTCTGAAGCCAAACAGGCGTTATGCGATCAGTACTGTTGCCAGAAGATGCATCCTGTGATTCCCACGTGGCGCGGGGAACCGTGTACCCAGTTAATTACACGCATGCTTGTGTGTTAAAGTTGGTCGTGAAATGTGTTTAGAACTTTGGAAAAAAAAAGAAGCGGTTAAGCGTGGAAGCCACCCATTTAATTTTCTTGTAAAGGAGAAAATAGGTTCTACGAAAGAGCACGAGAGTGTCTAGGCCAAAGCCGATCACTTAGGACGAGCTAGCACAGGGGAAGCTCGCTGTCAGATGCTGCAAGCAAGCGTGGGCAGCAGCGTGGCGGGAGCTTAGCAGGGCCTGGGCCGCCTCAGAGCCAAAGCACGGGAGGCTTAACCAGATATACTGACGTGGGCCGTGGGGCTGTGCCACCTGGATAAACACGGTATCGCTGCCTGCGAAAGGAAACAAGGAAAAGGAGGTTTTTTTCCTCTTGCATCAATATATTCAACTCATCTGTAAAATTTATGATAGAAAATGCTATTTTTGTCATCCTAATTCTCAATAATGGAATACGGTCTATCAAACAGCTCAATACTGCTTTGAGGAAAATAAAGAATTAAACTGAGTTAATATATTGGGAATTTTGAAGCTCCTTTTAGACCCACGACCTGATGACACGACCCACACGAGAAGCAATCACGGACCGTCCCTGAGCTCTCCTACAACACGGGAGACGTAAATGCCATACATCAAACGTCAGTTTCGCAATCTCCAAGCTATCACATAAGTAGTGAAGCGGGAAATGAAAGAGACATTCTTACTATACTATCTGTGAAAAAACCATATATATGTATATTTGCTTTTTGGGTCACTCCCAGCGATGCTCTGGGGTTACTCCTGGCTCTGCACTCAGGAGTTACTCCTGGCGGTGCTCGGGGGACCCTATGGGATGCTGGGAATCGAACCCGGGTCGGCCGCGTGTAAGGCAAATGCCCTACCCGCTGTGCTGTCGCGCCAGCCCCAGATCTGTGTAGCACTAAGCAAGACTGAGAACAGCTTTTCCTTCCAATTTTTATTCTTTTCTGCTGGCGTCACGCCTGGTGTGCTCAGGTCATGACTGACCCTGGTGGGGCTCAGGACAATATGGGGGGGGCAGGGGTGCAGGGAGTCCAACCGGGCAGGCGGGCAGTGTGCGAGGCAAGCGCACCCCCCACTTACAGAGAGAAGATGGGGCCCGAGAAGTAGCACCTTTTTTTTGGGCTTTTTTGGGTCACACCCAGCGATGCTCAGGGGTTCCTCCTGGCTCTGCACTCAGGAATCACACCTGGTGGTGCTTGCGGGACCATATGGGATGCTGGGAATCGAACCCGGGTCTGCCATGTGCAAGGAGAATGCCCTCCCCGCTGTACTATCGCTCCAGATCCTAATATCTTGGTTTCACTGCCTGGAAAACATGACTCAGATTTTGTGTGTGTGGCTGTCATCTGTGATTTTGGCGCCACACCCGGCAGTGCTCGGGGCTTACTGCTGGCCTGTGCTCCGCGATCATTCCGGGCAGGCTGGGGGCCGCCCGGGGTCCCCGAGGCCGAGCCTGGGTTGGCCGAGTACAGGGCAAGTGCCCTTCCCCTGTACTTTCCCTGCAGGCTGTAATAACACGCCAGGAATTCTTGTCAGGTACCAAACACGTTCAATGACAGTGACTCAGTAGTGAAATCCGATGAATTTAAAGAGCAGGACGAATCTGTCAGCCATAAATTCCAGATCAGATCACTGCCCATTAGGACCTCCGGGAGGGCCTAGAAGCACTGGTGCCAAGGTGCAAAGCCAGGCGCGTGGCCTCGAGGAAGTGGATGTGTGCCAGGGCTGAGGCCACCGTGGAGACATTCCCTGCTTACGGGGCGCCGCAGGAGCGAGCTTTCGCAGACAGGCAAGCAGAGCGTCACGGTTAGCTTCTGTTCCGTGCGTCACTGACAAGATTTCTGGGTGCAGCAAATATTCCCGGCTCCGGGGGCGTCCAGAGGGCGGGGCTGGGGGCACCCCCTGGGCCCAGGGAAGTGCCTGCCACCGGCTGGTGTCTCGCTGCTCACCCGAGTGAGCGCAGGCTCCAAGAGGTGGGGGTGACGAGGGGGCGGTTTCCTGTCCTCTGCGCCCTCCAGCCAGCGGCCAGCCTTGCCCTGCCCGGGCTGGTCACCTTGGTCACACCGGTCACGGCTCAGCACCCCCCACCTCGTGTATCCTGGGGTCGCTCTCGGTGGCAGTGACAAGAGCAGCGCCCGCCGGGGAGCTCCCGCGTGTGTCTCTGCGCTGTGTCTCCTGTGTCATCAAGACTCGAGTTACCAGAGATAAGACGCGCTTGGCAAGGCCCACGACAGGTACTGAGTGAATAAACCAATGTCCGCTTTTAAAATAATGTATTTTTTCCCCTTCCATTTCCTTTTTGTCTCTGGGCCACACCTGCCTGTACTCAGGGCCACTCCTGGCGGTGCTAGTAGACCATCTGCCGTGCCCGGAACAGAGCCAAGGGCAGCACCAGGCCCGGCCAGCCCCTGTGCTGTCTCTCCATGTCAGGGCATTACTGAAACAACTTAAAAGTACTTGTGGAACTGGTGTAAATTCTAATCAAACTTCTCTCTCTCTTTTTTTTTAAATTTTGGGCCACATCCTGCGATGCCCAGGGAGCACTCCTGGCAGTGCTCGGGACTGTCAGGGCGGTCAGCACATGATGACAAGCCCCTGCTGCTCTGCGGCTCTCTCCCGCCAGCCCCCGCACGCCGCGGACACGAGAATGTGCGGAGTGATCCTGGCAGCCCTCTGGGGGAGGCATCCCTGGGCCCCCACTCTGGGGCAGCCGTGGGGCCACTGCAGACGAGGCCCCCAGTGCACACAGGTCACTTACAAATCACAGGGAAAAGTCCACAGACAGGCCACGTTGTTCTGGCTATCGGGTCAGGCGTTTCAACTTCTACTAGGAGCGAAAGAGGACTGATAATTTCCTTAAAAAACGGAAGAAACTGGGCCAGAGAGACAGCACAGCGGGGAGGACGTTTGCCTTGTACGAGGCCGACCCGGGTTCGATGCCGGCATCCCGTGTGGTCCCCCAAGCACTGTTCGGAGTGATTCCTGAGTGCAGAGCCAGGAGTAAGCCCTGAGCATTGCCGGGTGTACCCCCCCCCCCAAATACCCCACAAGAACAAAAGAGAGAAACTGCGGTCAGGGCCTAGCTCAGGTGCTGGCTACCGTGTGGAGGAGCCTGGACCCCCAGGAAGCTGGGCTGAGGCCTGACCTCCAGGCCCATGTTCACGGCATCTCGTCTCTGCCCCTGGCTGATTTCCAGTCAGGCAAAGCCCGTGTTTTCTCTTGAACACGCTCTTTCTCTCTCCTGTCTTCTCAAGTAAGACTCAGTGAAAAGTACCTTGCTTCACCAAAAACAGGTGTCTGGCTGAGTGTCATTCTTCGGTGAGTGACACAGCTCACTGATCCCGCCCCCGTCCAAGGGGCCTGACAAAGACCCAGTCCCGGGGAGGGAGCTCTCCCGCCCGCTCCCCAAATGACAAAAAAGCAGAATTTACGAACTGATTGCTTTCCTGGATTTCTCACTCACGCCAAAATCTTTGAAACATCCAAAGTTATCTGCTCTACACAAATCAACAAAACAAGACCCACTCTGCGAACAGTTAAATGAGAATAATGATCTGAGGGTCGGTATCTGGCAGAAAATGCTGCTTTTCTTTCGTTACTTCAGTGGGCCAGCAAAGTGGGGTCAACAAACGGGGATTTTTAAAAGCCACAAAACAGGTTTCTATCTAACAAGACTTCATAATCCTCAGGTGTCAGAGTAAACCCAGAATAATAGCATTAAAAAAAAATGGATGTGAAAAGGTAAGGCCCTGGGTAATTACAGAAGTATGTACTAAGCGGAAGTAAAGACCCTGGGTCAAATATCAGAGGCCTCCAGAGAGAATTTTGAAACGATTCTCTGACTGGGTATAAATCTTCAAAATCTAGTTTGAGGGGCTGGAGCGATAGCACAGCGGGGAGGGTGTTTGCCTTTCACGCAGCCAAGATGGCAGATACAGGTTCGATTCCCAGCAGCCCATATGGTCCCCCAGGCACCGCCAGGAGCGATTCCTGAGTGCATGAGCCAGGAGTAACCCCTGAGCATCGCCGGGTGTGACCCAAAAAGAAAAAAAAAATCTAGTTTGACTTTTCAGCATCAATATTGCAAACAGAGAGAGAGAGAGAGCAAGAGAGAGAGAGAGAGAGAGAGAGAGAGAGAGAGAGAGAGAGAGCGCACTCGCGAACTCGCGTTTGCCATAGAGGCAGGGACGGACATTGGTGCTGGAATGTGCCCTGGTGCAGGGACGGGTGCTGGAACACGGCATGACTGAAACCTAATCGTGAACAGCTTCGAATGGCTCTATTTCACTGTGATTCAATTCAAAAATCTAGTCTGATTCCCAGAGGCACAGACAAATTTGTTTTCTTTAAAATCAGAAAGCTCACTTGCGGTCTTGGGAGACCAGCCAGCGTTCCCGCGTGCAGGGGCTGCCGGCAGCAGCAGGTCTGTCTGTCCAGCCAGGGTGGCACCTGGTCTGCACGGAACCAAGGCTTGTGACCAGATTCGGGCTCTGACTTACTAAGGAACACATCTGTGTCCTTAGCATGGCCTTAAAGCTCAACCTGAAGTTGCTCATAAAACACAGAAGCAGGCGAGGCAGATTTAGGTCGCATTCTCTTGGAAGGGCTCGGATGGGCGAGAGGCTTAGCTGGCGGCCAGGGGCCCCATGTGCTTACGAAGCATTTAAATATGCTGGCCATTACTGAAGCAGGAGCTAGAGCAAATGCACGTTGGATTTTGGAGACTTTTAAACAAAACAGAGAATGTAAGAACAGTGCATTTTATGTTCGTCTGCTCAAATATTCCACATAGAGTGGGTTAAATAAAACATATGACTAACTTTCACCTAATTCTTTTGCTTTTTCGGGGGGACACACCTGGCAGTGCTCAGGACTCAGTCCTGAAGAGGCATGGCGCACCAGCTCCGGACCCCTTTCTGCTTTTGTCCCTGTGGCTCTGTGACCCTCACGGTCACACGGTGCTTCATTTCTAGTGGACAACACGAGGCCAGAGACCAGCAAGGCTGGGCGGTTCAGTGGTCAGGGCTAAGCCTGAGACAGCAGAGAAGGCGCTTCCTCGGGCAGCGCAGATGGGGCACCGGGGGGGGGGGGGGGGGGGCCGAGAGCCCCTCCGCATCTGCTGCTTCCAGGCAGATCCCAGAGGAGTGCTCTGTGACTCTGGGGCCACACTGAGTGTGCTGAGGGCTCCAAGGACCACAGGTGGTGCCGGGAACTGAACCCAGGCCGGGAGTGTGCGAGGCCAGCGCCCTGCCCCTGCACTGCCACTCTGGCCATCAGTGATTTTTTCCTCCCCCCTGAAAAGGCCAACAAGTGAGTCTGGGGACCTTGGGCAAAAAAGTAGGAATTTTGATGTGGTAACTGCGAAGTTCAAAAGCTGTGAGTTTGGCGAGGAGAAATGCGGTTCTCCACAGAGCACACAAAACCACCAGCTCTGCAGGCGCGGCTACAGCCTGGGCCGACATTCCCTGTCGCTTCGGAGCCACCTTTGTCCTCTCTGACCATGAAGGAGTGTTTGACACTCGACACTCGCCACTGCCAAACAGTTACTCAAAGTCTCCGTTACTAATTTCCTCCCTGGGCCTTTCAGTAACGAACAGCAGATTTGAAGAGAACCGTTCGAACAGGTTCTTTCGAATCTTTCGAAACTGTGTTTGTGGGTGAGTTTTGAGAAATCAAGAAATCACAGATCCTTGGTTTCTGGTATCTATCGCACCGCTGACTCCTCCCCAGCGCTTAAACGCCGACACCTACTTGAGTGGAATGGGCTCGAGTGCTCCGAGTCGAACACGCTGCAGACGTCGGTGGCGCTGGAGGCCCCGGAGGCGGGCGGGGGCGTGAGCGGCGTGCGGGGGGAGTTGGGTGCCGACGCGGTGCTCTCCGCCTCGTTCTCGTGGATGCGGCTGTAGCTGATCTTCCTGGGCTCCTGCTGCAGGGGTGTTGGGTGTCTCATGGTACCTGGTCTTGGGTTTGACGGACGAACACCGGGAGATTTTAGGGGATAGCTATATTTTTTTGGCTGTAGACATATCAAAAGAAACACAATGCTTACAATACTGGCACAGGAAAGAAGGTTCTCCGAACATCCCGGGGAAATCCAACTCCTCTCGGGCTGCTCAACTCCTAGAATCCAGGGAACCGCAAGCCTCTGGAGAAGCTCCAGGAGGAGTGAACTCAAAGTGTCTCGTGTCTGTGAGTCGTGGCTGTCTGAGGCAGACGGAGGCCGCTGCTCTGGTTTGGAAGTGCCAGGGAAGAATCTAGAGCCTCACATGCACGGCCAGTGCCGCACCTCTGAGATACACGCGGATGCGGGAGTGCACCTTCCAAAGGACTGGGTTTTAGTTCTTAGAAAAAAAAATCCTGGTGGATGGAAAGCCCCAACATACACGATACATTTCTCCAGCCCCGTCCCTCGACCTGCCCCTCCCTGCTTTCACAAAAGAATCTGCTGAATTTAACTGGCTGGGAAAGCCAGAACCATCATCGTTGGTGCGAGCATCTCACCACTCTGTGAAACACGACAGGATCACGGTGTGCTGCTTGGGGAGGAATCGAGCTACCTAAGCGTTTTCCATCTGTGTATGTTGTCTTGCGGAATTCCTTCGGTGATACCCTGGCTTACTGTTTCTGATCATCTTTCCTCCTTGTGTTTTTGCCGTGCTCTCTGCCTGGGCCTGCGTGCCACCGGGTGTCTAACTCACTCCAGCCCTGAAGATCCATCTTTTTAAAAAACTGTTTTGTCTGTTTTTTAAAACGAATTTTTATTAAAACCCCAGATTTACAAATTTGTTCGAATATAGTTGTTTCTGGCGTTTTAATGTTCTAACACCACGAGTGTGACCTTCCCTCCACCAACATCCCTGGTTTCCTTCCCAGCCCCAAACTGCCCCCGTAGGCACAAAACAAATTTACTTTATATTGCTTATTCCAACAAAAGCTTAAGAGTCACAAATAGAATGATCAGAAAATAGATCAGCAAAAGCCAGTCTGTGATTGCTATGACTTTAACCTATGAACACAAGGAAATTAAAGCCATTTAGTACGGTAAAATGCCTATTCTTACATGTACGTAAGTTTTCAATTCTGGAATCTATAAAATATATTGCATTAAATATTATTTTGTACTTGGATCTCACTAAGGTAGAAATCTGATAGGTAAGACATGATTATTCCCATGGTGAAAAAAAGTTTTAGATTTTTTTTTCTTGTTCGTTCAAGAAATTTATCTTGAACATGAGATTTATCTCGGTCACCTGCAAGCTGTTTTTCGCTCACTTCTTATTTTTGTGTTTCTGGGCCACCCCAGCAGTGCTGGGAGTTATTTCTGGCTCTGCACTCAGGCTCACTCCTGGTGGTGTCCAGGGGGCCAGCTGGGGTCCTGGGGATGGAGAGCCGCGTGCCAGGCAGTGCCCCCCTCAGCTCTCCGGCCCCTTCTTGAATTTCTTTCTTCTTGTTTTCACTCCTGAGTTCTTATGAGAGAGCTTATATTTGAATCAGTGAAGTGATAATAGTATACTTCACTGCCAATAACATAAAACAATGGAAATAATTTTCCCAAAGAAAGTATCTGTAGCCCAATTTGGCATATTTATAATGAATAATTCACAGTTAAAAATTCCAGTAAGTTATGTAAAGTGCCAAGTATATATCAGTGTAAGTAAATGAACGATTCAAATTTCCTACCTTTAAATCTCGAATAACATTTTTGTCAAAAAATAAGCACATATAAGCCCAATTTCTTTTATTCGCTGTATCAAGGTTTATTCTGGATATCAAAGTTCACTGACTAATGGAACCAAGTGGGTCACGTGATTCTATAGATCAGAAGGGTTTTATTGAGTGTTCCTTGGCGCTTCTATCACGTTTGTGAACGCCTTCACCTGAAACCAGTCCATCTAGTACATTGGGGGCACTACCGATAAAGCACGAAGACTGCAAAAATCTATAAATGAAAAAGAAATACAGATATATGACCACTTACAAATCGTGGAGGAGGCTTAGCGTTTCGTGGTTCTATTTCCAGGGATTTGTTGAAAAGGTAATCTGTAAATTCTTTTTCCATGCTACTTCCCATCGGATTCAAGTTTTCAAAGAACCTCTAAATGCAAAGAAACAAACATCAATATGATAATCAACTTGAAATTAATGAAAATTTAAGAAAATATTTACCATAAGAAACCTTTTTTTTTTTGCTTTCTGGGTCACACCCGGCTATGCACAGGGGTTACTCCTGGCTCTGTACTCAGGAGTTACTCCTGGCGGTACTCAGGGGAGCATATGGGATGCTGGGAATCGAACCCGGGTTGGCCGCGTGCAAGGCAAATGCCCCACTTGCTGTGCTATCGCTCCAGCCCAAGAGAACCGTACTGATTTTACGCTTTATTTTATTTTTTCTCCGCGAGGAGATAAGTTTTTTCGATCCGGTGATTTCTAAGTTCAGCCAGAGATTCGCATCCCCGACGATCAAACTCGCCTTCATGTCGGATTCTACGCGTAAGCAGTAAGGCTGGTTCTGGTACTGCTGGATCTCCCCCGTTATCTCCGCGACTTTCCTCCGCTTGCTGAAGTTGATGAGCTCTTTCCCATGCCGCTTGAGGACCTCAGGGTTGCCTTCTTCTGTTTTCAAGATGTTAGTGAGATAAATCCCTGGAAGACACAAAGACATCATCTCTAAGGAGGGAAGAGCAGCTTCTGCACTCGCGGGCACCACCTCAGTGACCAGCCGGGCCAGGCCACACCCCTGCTCTGTGGAAAGCTGGGCAGAGACAGATTAAAAAAAAAACAAATATCAACTTACTGTTACAGACAGGTCTTATAAGTGTCTCCCTCCCCCAGAAGAACAGAATCAATACATTTATTTTCATTCGGGGGGAATAAGCCATCCCCTATGTCCCTCAAGGGTATGTATTCAGATTTTGTCACAACTTTGTCATGACAAAGTTATTTTACTATTAAGAATTTTAGAAATAACTTCTCGCTTCGAAGACATTTTTGGCAACAGGGGAAATGTCTAATTCACTTTTTTTTGGGTCACACCTGGCGATGCACGGGGCTTACTCCTGGCTTTTGCACTCAGGAATTACTCCTGGTGGTGCTTGGGAGACCATATGGGATGCCGGGGATCGAACCGGGGTCGGCCGCGTGCAAGGCAAACGCCCTACCCGCTGTGCTATCACTCCAGCCCCCAAAAGTTTGATTTTTTCACTTTGACCCACCAAGCACTGTAGCACTGTCCTCCCATTGTTCATCGATTTTCTTGAGCGGGCCCAGTAACGTCTCCACTGTGAGACTTGTTGTTCCTGTGTTTGGTATATCGAAGACGTCACGGGGAGCTTGCGAGGCTTTGCCATGCGGGCGAGATACTCTTGGTAGAGAGGGGCGGAGGAATCGAACCCGGCTTGGCCGGGCTGGCTGCGTGCAAGGCAAACGCCCTACCGCTGTGCTATTGCTCCAGCCCCACATTTTCTTTTTGCTTATTTCTAAGACCCTTCGAAGAGGCTGTAAAGATTCGTAATTTGAAGCAAGACTGTCTGGAGAGGCTTAGCTTGTGGGAGTGTGGAAGAAGCCGCCAATTTCCCGCGCAGGAGCTCCTGTAACTGGGGCGCAGGACCGAGTCGAGTCCTTCCATCACCGGGGGGCTGGTGACTGGCGCTGGCTGCCATCACCGCGGCTGAAACAGCTCCTCCCCAGGCCCGAGCTCCCGTCTGCTTTGGCCACCCCTGCTCCCCGCGGGTCTGAGCTACTAGGGTTCCCTGCGCTTCCGTCTCTCCCGTCCTCGAGTGAGGCCGCGGGCCGCTGTCAGGAGAGAGTGGGTGGCCTGAAGTCCAGGATTGGGAGTGTGTAAGAGCAAACGAAATGCTTCATGGGCTCCGGCTGCAGCCGCAGTCCTCTTGTTGCTCTTCTTGTCCTGGTCTGTGATGCTACTGCCTGTCCCCCGAAAGTACTGCGAGGCGCTTTGGGGGGAGAAGAGTGCCTCTGGGAACCTGAGTGGATTCCCTCAGCAGCGCTGAGAACATGACGGAGGCGCCCAGTCTGGTCACAGACGGGGCAAGGAGAGCGTCACAGGCGAGGCGGCCTCCCGTGAGCCGGGAGACGGGCGCCAGGCCTGCGGGCAGCGGGCGCTGGTTCCCGCTGGCCTGAGCCGGCACGCGCCGGGTGTGCAGGTCCCGGGCTCTGGGCGTGTGGAGGGGCAGGCGGCCGTCACGTCTCGGCCCTTCGCCATCCATCAGAGCGAACGGAACAAGGCGTGGGAGTCCTAAGGAGGAACTGGCGCTTCTGATGCTGCTGTGTGGAGACGGACTCAAAATCCTTTTTTGGTCACATCTTGAGAAAATTAAGTAATTCGCTCAATAGTTGGTAAAGTCCACATCAGCTTGTACTGGCCCTAAAAACGTCCAGGTTTAGGCCCACCCTGGCGTTTCCTGCCCCCCGGGCCCTCCTGGCTCCTCTGCGGGCGGTTCACCATTAGTTCTGGGAGCAGCTCTTGGTCTCTCTGGCTCCTTCACAGCCAGCGAGGTTCTTCTTCCCGTCAACCCTGAGCGGCCGTGTTTGACAAGCAGAGTCATTAAAAATAGGCGAACCTGACGACAAATTAGTTTCCCATCCTGGTCCCATGTCAGCAACCCAATGGGGAGACTTCGTGGGCATTAGTGCAGGGACCAGGCCGTGAAGAGCCTTTCCTGAAGCGCTTCATGCTATCTCGGAGGTGGCCAGACCACAGCACTGCCTTCTGGAAGGGTCACTCTGGCTGTCCTGTGAAGCCAGTGAGGTCAGCAATTAGACTAGAGCCGGGGGCCCGGGCGACGGTACAGCGGGGAGGGCACTTGCCTTGCACACAGCCAACCTGTGCTTGGACCCTAGCACCCCATATGGTCCCCCGAGCCCCCTGGGAGCGATCCCTGAGCACCGCGGAATGAGGCCTTGAAACAAAAAACGGGCAAACGATAGAGCAGGAAGATCCCTCAGCAGGACACAGCCTGGGTGAGACAGTAAGGGCTGATCTGGGGTCTGTGGGGGGTGGCGTGGAGCACATGCGTATCGGAGAGGGGGATTCCCCGAGGGCGCTGACCTGGGGCGGGGGGGGGGGGGGGGTGGACATGCACAATGCGAGTTCCTGAAGGAAGCTGCGGACTCTCCACATAGCATTAGGGGAGAGCGCAGAGTGAAATTCGGAAATCAATCTATTACAAAGGGACGCTGAGCTGAAAGGAGAGCAGAAGATGGAAGACGTGGTACTCACACCTTTCTTCTCATGCTATGCACTAAGAAAAAGTTTAAGCGTTTTCAACTTAGATGTGGATCCTTTGGTCCCCCCCAGCAGTGCCTGGAGGCTGCCTGCGGTGGTGGGTGACGCTGGGGGCGGGCTCCATGCAGTGCCGGACAGACCAGCGACAGCAGAGGTGAAGGCACCGGCCTGACACGCAGTGGACCCTGACGTGGTCTCTGAGCATCACCAAAGCGAGGAGTGAGCCCTGAGTACCACTGGGCATGGCCCAAACCCCTCTTCCTCCCCCAAAGAGCCAACCAGGGCTTCCGCATGCGAGACATGTGCTCCAGCCCTTCGAACCCCCCCCCCCCCAGGCGCCAGATACACTTTGAAAATTAAATGTAGTATATACTTAAACTTAGAAAATTACATATGCATATATAGGTATACATGTGTGTAAATGTATGGCCAGGCCTGCGTACTACGGTTTGCTTCGGTGGTTATTTTAGACCCCTTACACTGGGGAGAGGGACAGCAGTGCCCAGGACGCAAACAGTGATGAAAGAGAGGTGTCACCGTTTGGCTGATTCTTCCCCTAATTTCCCCAGGAATCAGGGCTGGGGTCCTCCGCTCTCATCGTGTCTGCCCACGCTCTAACGCGCACTTTTCTACATTACAGGAGTGTGTTGGCGACGTAATGCCGCACTCAACTGTGTTCTTTGGGGGCAGTGCGATACTTGACGCACTTTCAAAACTAGCCTGGGCCGTGCACCGGGGCTTTCACATGCCTCTGAGTGAACCCGCAGGCTCACCGAGCACAGACGCAAAGGCCCTCAGGGTCTGGGGGGAACAGGAGACAGGCTCTGCACGGCAGGGGAAGGGGACGTGTAAACCCAGGAGACGGCAGGAGAGAGACGCGTGAAGGGGCGGCATGTACGTGGCCAATGGGAGACCCCCGAGGCTCCCCTTACGTGTCAGCCCGCTCGGCCACTCTGCTGTCAGCGGGACCTTGGATTGTAGGGGGAAAAGCCCAGTGTTACCCAGTGCTCGACCTGCATCTTCTGAGGGGGGCAGCAGCAGTGGGGGACTTGAGTGAATGTCCTGGCTTTTCCTTTTGTGAAATGGCCCTCCCACTTCTGCCAGCTGCTGGCACGGACTGTATGTGTGTGTCTGCGCGCGCGCACGGGAACCCTTTGCTTGGGGGCAGCGGGGGTCCCAGGAAAGCCCCTCCTGGAGCAGAGATGCAGTGACCAGACTGACACCGAGAGCGCCAGGAAGGAGGCAGGCTCCAAACCGCAGGCGGAGATGCTCTTTAAAGGTCTGAGACAGACAGCAGGGCCGAGTGTGAGCTTGCCCGCCGGTCAGGGTGCCGTGGACAGCAGCGGCCAGCGTGCGGGACACCGTGACTAAGTGGCAATGCTGTCATCCAACTGGTTCTTTTTGGCCCATTCTTTCCTTCTGTGGCCACGCGTGCTCGGGGACCATCCTGGTACTGGCCACGAGCCAGCCAGACAGGTCCCGAGAGCATCACCTTCAAGCCCCCTGATACTAAGAAGGTACTCGGGTAACCGCCGAGACACAAGGGAGGGACCGCAGGCTCACTGCCACTGCCCCAGCCCCGGGTGAACGAACTGGTGCCAGTCCCCACATTTAAGAGTAGACGCGACGCTTCTAATGCTTTATCAGGGAGAGGACATACAATGAAAATAGTTGAATCAAGAATTCGGAGGTGGGGAGAATGAATCAGGAAAACACAATTATTAATGACAAAAATCACAGCATAAAAACCAGCAGTGGACAATCAAGGTCTTAAACACCGCAAATTCAAGCTATAAAAGCAAAAATAGAAATGGGACATACACTGCAAACTGGAGCAATTAAAAAAACGACATCTACCCAATCATGCATCTCAATAATAATGAAATTGTCACACTTCTACAGCTGAAACTGAATGCTGGTAGTTTTAATCTAATGTGTCAATGTCTAGCAGAAAACTGCAATGGGAAAAAATGGAAGGAAAAAGCAAAAATTACATCTTATAAAAGACCCCAGACCCAGGTGGTTTTTCTGTTGCAATCACTTAATCACTTAACTTCCTGTTAGTCGTCGATTTGCTCGAGCGGGCGCCAGTAACGTCGCCATTTGTCCCTGTCACGTGCAATATTTAGCTTAAAAGGCAGACAATTTGGAGGCAGAGAGAGTCTCGCAGGCAGGGTGCCTGCCTTGTGATCCTTGTGTACACACGTGCTCCCCCAAACCCTGCGAGGAGGCCCCTGAGCACAGTTGGGTGTGACCCAAGAACCGAAAACAAATAAGAATAGCTAATACTCCATCATATTAGAGTATCATGGAATACAAAAAATGGAAAGTTATTTAACTCATTACAAAGTCAACGAGATGGCAAACAGATCAAAAAGGGAAACGGAAGACTAATCTTATTCACTGAGATGGTGCAACAATTCTTTTTTTTTTTTCTTTTTTTTTGGGTCACACCAAGCCTATGCTCAGGGGTTACTCCTGGCTCATGCACTCAGGAACTACTCCTGGCGGTGCTCGGGGGACCATACAGAATGCTGGGAATTGAACCCGGGTCGGCCGCGTGCAAGGCAAACGCCCTACCCGCTGTGCTATTGCTCCAGCCTCGGGTGCAACAATTCTAAAATGCTAGAATTCATTTATTTACTTAAAAGTCTAACCCCACATCATGAGGCTGAATGTTAGTACATCAGAAGGTTCCGTATTCATCTCTGTAATTTTAGTTTGCTAGACAAGAAAATGTTTTACTGTACTATGACAAGATTTTTTCCTATACATAAACATACTATTATGAAAAATATTTACCTTGCTTTTCTGTTTTTTTGTCTCATTCCCAGCAGTGCTCAGGGTCACCTCTGGGGACAGTGCCAGGGACTGAGTCAGGGTCAGCCACTAATGAGATAAGAGAGGGCCTTATGCCCTGGGGTTGGCAACATTGTGCGATGCTCAAGGCTTACTCTGGGCTCTGCACTCAGATGGGTTCAGGGCATCAGATGGGACCAAACCCGAGTCCACACATTCAAGGCAAATGCCCTGCCCGCTGTAGTGTCTCTGGCCCCAAGGACCTAAAACTCTCTATGATCTTTCCGGCCTGAAAACAATTTTCTTTGCATTAAGCAAAGAGCAAGGGAACACACATTCCTGTTTAAACAGATGAAACGAGAGCTGTTTATCTTTATGGTTTGGCCTCTGCTTGCGAAATTATGACCAACGTCAGACGGCATGATAAAGGATAAAGAAACGAGAGGTACTATCGTGACTGATAGTCCTGATTAAATATTTAGAAAATCTAGGGCCAGAGAGACAGCTCACGGGGCTTGAGCACGTGCTCTGCGTGGGGAAGCCTGGGTTCTATCCCCGCGTCACTGAGCCCACTGAATCCATAAGCACTGCTGTGTCCCCACCCAAATCTAGAAAAATCTTAAAAAAAAAAAAATTCTTGGAATAAAAGAGTATTTTAAATTCTCTATTTAAAAATGAATAGCATTCACAGCAAAAAAGTAATCAGGAAAAAGCTAATTTTTAAAAAAGTCTCATGAAGTTCTTCCAAATTAATCAATAGAATGTTTCAACTGTATTTTTGGGAATTACCCCCATCCCTACAAAGTATCAAAGTTCAGTAGGAAAAAGGAAGACAAACTTGGTAAAGATAAAAGGCAGAAAAGAAACACTGAAAACCATTTTCAAACTCTTTAAAATGATATAGCCTTGTCCTGTCCTCCCCTTGTCTCCACTGTGAGATTTGTTACTGTGTTTGGCATATCAAATAAGCCATGGGGAATTTGCCAGGCTCTGCCGTGCGGGCGGGATACTCTCGGTAGCTTGCCGGGCTCTCTGAGCGGGATGGAGGAATCGAACCCGGGTTGGCCGCATGCAAGGCAAACACCCTACCTGCTATGCTAAAGTAGGGTTTTTAGTCCTGGTCTTACTGCGATCTTTTAAGTTTTGTAATTGTTCTTGACTTCCTGAGTGGTGTTCAGGAAACTCAGGTCCAAAGCGGCGGAGTTGCGTGGGCCGTGCAGTGATGAGGTCGGCTGCAGCGACGCTCGGGGCCCCAGACTCCTGCCGTTCCCCTGTGGTTCCCAGTGAAGCTGGCATGTGCGTCTGGCCACTAAACTCTCTCCTGGGCCCCAGCTCTATTGTTCCGCGTGGTGTGGCTACAGTCCCGGGTGCTGCAGATACTGACAGTCCTCGCGCTCTCCCCCACCAGATGCAGACAGCCAGGATAGAGCCAGACGCCACCAAATGTTCACTGGCGCAGAGGCCAGAGAGACAGTCCAGCGGGGAAGTGCTTGCCTCGCACATGGCCGACCCGGGCTTCAAGCTCCAGCACCCCCTGGAGTCACTCCTGGGTACACAGCCAGGAGTAATCCCTGGACATCGCCAGGTGTGGCCTCAAAAAAACAAAACAAAACAAAACAAAACAAAACTCTTTCAGCCAGTTGAGAATCACTGGTTATAAAGTGCTTTTTAAATTGGGCATTAGTATAAGAAAATATTAATGAAATAATATAATGGGAAAGATGATTATTTATCCAACCTGGATATATAAATAAACGGATGCAGAAATAAATCTGAATTTTATGATTACATGTATGGGAAATTTCCAGAGTGTTTAAGGAAAAAAATTAGATGGGACCAGTAAGTATCAGTTTTGAGCTATGGCAGTAACAAAAAACCTGTTTTAAAAATGAGAAATAATGGGATGCGACTTGCTTCGCCATCTGCTTCCGGGGACAGCCTGGACGGAACCTGCAGGAAGGGGCCCGGCCACACGTGGAAGGCAGGCGGTCTGTGTCCGGGGGCTGATGCGGGCAGAGCACCCACCTCGCCCCAGCCACGCCCGCACTTCCAGGGAAACACACTTTTAAAAACAGGCAATTATAATGGATGAGTTCAGACACTGTCATAGTAGCTTTATGGAATATTACAGAATTACAGCAGCATAAGACTAATAAAACACAACATTACATTCTGAAGGCATCTAAGTAAAAAAAAATGAGTTCATTTCTAAGTCACCCTAGAGAGAATGTGCGTTCCGAAAGGATTTGAAGAACATACACAGTAGTCTGTTTTAAAGCCCGAACCCAAAATACAGGAAAACAGAAGGAACTGAAAATAAAAAAAATGAGGCACTGTTAAGTGCAACCTGACAGAAAACTCAGATGAGGAAAAAGGCAGAAGAAAACGTCACATCACTAAAGAGGCTACAAGACAGTATGCAACAGAGATCACAGTTTCACGTGCACCCAGAGGACGCAGCAGATACTATGGACAGGCAGAGCGAGAGGAGAGTGAGAGAGAGTAACTAGGAAACAGCAGACAAATGGGGGAGCAGAGCCCCTCGGGAAGGGGCACCCACGGCAGACCTTTGGGTCGACCAGGAGAAGGGATCAAACGTCTGATGTGCTGGCCATGGGGACGGAAAGGTACAGACTTGGATTTCAGTCATGAAACTACTTAGAATCATGATCGATAGGGATGACTTTGGCCTGACTTTTCTATGGGCTGTTTGATCACTTGATCACCTGACATCCTGTTACTCATCGATTTACTTGAGTGGGCACCAGTAACGTCTCCATTTGTCCCTGTCAAGTGCTAGTGTAGCCCAGTGGCGTCTGCTCACTCCAGAAACACGAAGAGCCTCAAACCTATCATTCAGGGACTTGACAAAGAAGTCTGACCATCTGGTAGGTAGGCGGCCACGCAGTCTTTTGACACCCCGTGGAATCCAGTCGGTAATGGCTCTAGTCTAGCGGTCGTCTCCAAATCTCATTATGTGTCCAACCCATCTGATTTTCGACGCCTTGGCAAACGAGACAGCGTCCCTGATTCTTGACCGTTGGCGGAGGTCGGAACTCCGGATTCTTTCTCTCATTTGAGTGAAACGTGATACTCCAAGCATAGCTCTTTCGATTCCTCTTTGGGAGACCCGAATAGTGTTCTCATCCTGTTTGTGTTGGGCTCAGGTCTCTGCGGCATATGTTAATGCAGGAAGAACAGAGGAATCGAAGAGATGTGCCCGGGAGCCAGAGAGGTTCTTCGTCCTCTTAGCTATTTCTTCGAGGCTCTTGAAGGTGTTCCAAGCCGCTCTCTTCCTCCTGCGCAACTCAGGTCGTTCGTCAGGTTTACTTCTCGACTTAGGTACACATAGCTGTTGCAGTCGGAGATGTTCGTTCTGTTGACAGCGAACGGAACGTCAGGAACGAGACTGTTTCTCATAAACACTGTCTTTGTGAGATTCAGCTGTAGTCAGACCTTTCCACACTCTCAGTCGAAGTCAGCCAGCATTTGTGCCACTTGGCTAATGTTTGGTGTTATTAGAATGATGTCATCAGCGAAGCGGAGGTGGTGTAAATACAATGGTGAAAATACAAATACCAGTAAATACACTGGGTCTCATGGGCTGTTTCGTTTGGTAAAATTAAACATAAACTATTTCAGTGAGAAAAGAAATGTTTGACTTCCGTGAAGCCAAAAGGATAGAATCTAACGGTTGTTCAAGATGGAAATACAAAGTGTAATTTACGAGTACCGACTGGACTTGAATTTCAAAGACCAGGGAGAACCGGGTGCTCTGTATTTGTAAGTAAGGACTTTCTACTGTACCTTAGCATTACACGGTCTTAGTAGCTGTCATTTTACCCAGAAAAACAAGGAAAATTCAGGAAGGGTTGCTCACCAAAGAAAGGCACGCACGGCGGGTTAATAGACCTGAGTTTCGCCAAGTATTTCTTATAGTGATCTTCACTCAACTCATGAGCCTCTTCTAGAATTTTCTTTTGGCGACTTGGTATTTGCTAAAAACAAAAAAATAAATAGACACGTATTTATTTAGGAAATATAACTCTACAAAAGGAATCAATCACGTGCTTTGCTAAAATACGCCAGGCCACAAGTGACCCCAATTGTCCTAGTTTCAGGTTCAGGTTCTGTGTTCTCGTATGGGATCGTTCCACCTCAAAGGAACTCTTTGAAAACAGATCAAAAGAGGTGTTTCTATGTGAGAAATCGAGTTTATCTTCCCATTCCCTGAAGAATTATGTGAACGTTTAACTGTGCAATATATTAAAAATTACCTGCTGAAATCTAAGAAAAAATTCTCTCACAAGCTAAAACCTGTGCAGGCATTTTAATGAGATCCACTTTGGGAAGAGCAATCAGGAGAGTGCGGGCGAGACCCTTCCTGGTGGACGCCAGCACCCGACAGTGGTCCCCAGCCTGGCCACGCATGAACCGAGCACAGCCAGGTGTGGCCCCGAGCCAAATAAAAGAAGCGACCAGTTCAACACAAAATTCCGAGTGTGTCTCTGTCACTATCACTGTCCTCCCGTTGTTCATCAATTGGCCCGAGCGGGCCCAGTAATATCGTGAGACTTGTTACTGTTTTTGCATATTGAACATGTCACGGGGAGCTTGCCAGGCTCTGCCGTGCGGGCGAGATACTCTCGGTAGCTTGCTGGGCTCTCCAAGAGGGGCGGAGGAACCGAACTCGGGTTGCCCGGGTCGGCCGCATTCAGGGCAAATGCCCTACCCGCTGTGCTCTCGATCCAGCCCTTCGATTATGTCACCACTTAAAAACTAAGTGTTAAAGCCCCGATCCAGAGACAGGGTGGAGTTCCCTGGAAACCACCTGCACACACCCACCTCGAACGTGTGGTCCAGCCTGTACACAGGCGACGAGTTCATGGCACTGACCACCTCCAGGACGCCGTTGAAGTTGTTCAGTTCTTGAAAGACTTGCAGAATCTCGATTATTCTACTCACCACAGCTACTCTTTCTTCTAAGTTCTCGGTTTCTACAATACATCTGGGCATCAAAGACGAAAGAGGAAATGGAAAAAGTCTGCGCTTTCCCAATGAGGCTCAGATTTGAGAATTCACCAAACAAACTCTATTCAGGCAAGTAGCTTTTTGGGGACAAGCAGACAGGAGGCGGTCAAGGTCCCCTTTACTGTCCTCCTGCCAGAGAGCCTGTCCCTTCTTCATCTCTGAGCCTCCCTCAGCATCAGGCTGGGAGGCTAATCTGACCAAGGGTTTGGGGCTCTGGGAGATAGGTGTGTTCTAAGGGAATTTATCCTGGAATTCAAGAACGCTGTCTCCCATTAACCTCATCACCCGAATCAACAATGCTCAGTGTCTACCTTGGGTAGATATATTTAGCTCTTCTGGGAATAGCTCTTCTGGTAAGCAGTAATATAAAAAGTCAGCAAAAATACCGTCACAATTAAGAAGAATATTAATTGTTTAGAAAACAGCCAAGCCTGGCCTAGAGCAGTAAGCAGGACAGTGGGCGAGGCACTTGCCTTGCGTGTGGCTGGCCCAGGTTCAATTTCTGACACCCCATATAGTCCTCCGAGCCTGCTAGGAGTAACTCCTGGGCACTGCCAGGAGACCCCAAAACTAGGGGAAAAACAAGAAGCCAAGAAAGGGCCAGAGAGACCACAGCGGGGGTAGCTCCAAAGCAAACAGACAAACAAAGGCAAGGAAGATGAGGCAGGAATCACCTTGAATGGCATCTACAAAGGAATGGCCGGAAAAAAATGTGGTACACAGGGCCTCAAAAAAGAATAAATTAAAGTAAATGGTATTGGTGAACATTTTGAACATTAAAGTAAACAAAACAAGCCAAAGGGGAGAAAAAAACCCGAACGATTCTGTATTCATAACCTATGTACGGGGGATGAATGCGAATGATGCGAGATGAGTGTTGGAAACCTGAACATCATGCATATAACAAGTCTGTTTTACACACCGAAAAAAGTCTGTTCAAAGAGGGTAGATTTCATATTTAGAGTTCTTACTCTGAACACATGGCAGTGCAGGAAAAGAACTCGATGATCTCCTGAGCACTGCCAGGAGTGATCCCTGAGTACCCCTAGGTGTGGCCCAAATGCAAAAAAAAAAAAAAAAAAAGAAGAGTTGGAGAGGCAGGAAGTACTCACAAGTATTATAAATTTTAATACAGAGAAATTATAAAAAGGAACTAAATGGAAAGCATTCGCGGCCGCGCGACATCTTATCAGAATATTATCTCATTCCTACTTTGGACAAACTTGCAGGCTATTGAATGTAGCCTGCCCACAGGGCAGAGTCTGGCAAACTCCCCGTGGCGTACCCAATATGCCAAATACCAGTAACAATGATGGGTCTCATTCTCCTAAAGAGCCTTGAATATTATCTCAGGGCTAGGATGAAAGAGACGTTACTGGGGCCTGCTCGAGGCAATCGACGATTAACAGGATGATGAAATGAAATGAAAAAAAAATGGAAAGCCTAGAACTAAAAATTACATAATTGAAATAAAAATTTTACTAGGTGGGGCTGGAGCGATAGCACAGCGGGTGGGGCGTTTGCCTTGCACGCGGCCGACCCAGGTTCAATTCCCAGCATCCCATATGGTCCCTTGAGCACCACCAGGAGTAATTCCTGAGTGCAGAGCCAGGTGTAACCCAAAAAGAAAAGAAAAAATTACTAGACAGCCTCAGTAATAGACATGGATTTGAAGAAGGTATTAATTCACTTGAAGAGAGAGCTATTATTCAAGAATGATGATCCATAATAAGTTTGTCTTTCCAAAATAAATAAAAACTCAGAGAACCTGTTATTAGCAAGCTCATGGTATCTTAAATATTAAAACGTTCTTCAGGGTTAAAGCTCTTTCCTTACATATGGCTAACCCCGGCTTGATCCCCATCACTGCTTGTGATCCCCTGAACACCGCCAGGAGTCACCCCTGAGCAAAACGGGGTGTAGCCATGAATAAGTAAATATAAAAATAAGGGGGTGGGAAGTGTTCTTCAGATTGAAAGTAAGTGACTCTAGCTGATTTTCTGATAATTACCAGAAAAGGTAATTATGTGATTACAAAAGACCTGTAAACGTTCACTTTTCACTGTCTTCTAGTATTTTAACATGAAATTATGTACATACGATGTATTATTGGTTCTGTAATACAGAAATATACTACATGTAAATATATTGCCAATAACCTCACCAAGGGAGTGAAGGAGAGTTAAGTGGCAACTGGTAATAAAATGAGGGTTAAGTGATGAAACAAAAATCAAAACAATGTGTCATTAGATTTGTGTCATTAATTATCTGTACCATGTAAATATATGGTTTACGATGAATACCACAGAAATAGGGGAAAGGGACTAGGACCACGTGGGAATTATAGGCTGCACCTGAGTGGAATTAAGTCCAGCATTAAGCTGGCAAGACCGGAATCTGCTAAGGTGTAGATGGCAAACCCCAAAGCAACCCCTAAAAGCTAAAAATTCATTAATAAGATGCCATCTTCAAGTAGTCATTCAGTGCAAAAATCGGAGGAACTGGAAATACCGCAGCGAGAAAGGTGGAGATGCAGAAGCAGCCAAGGGCCACGGGGCCGGCCGAGCGCTCGGGCCGGGCCAGGGGACTTACTTCTCGAACCACAGTGTGAGGTTGGTTGTGTGTCGGATCATTTTCAGAAGATTGGGAGAATTAATTTCTTTGTCTTCTTTTGTCCACACGCTTCCAACTAATTCTGATGGCTGGACAGCTCTAGAATCACCAAGACACAGTTTTATAGGACCCTGACCCCTCTCGTACGCCACCGTCGCAGTAAGGGACAAGCTAAGTTCCCAGGCAGACCCTCCTCTCGCGCCGGCAGAAAGGTCTCTCAAGAAAAGCGTGCACAGGAACGGTAGCTGCGCCTCTTTTTCTGTAGAGCAGAACCCACTACAGTGCACGCGCCCGATCTGCTTCGGTTCTCCCTTCACACAACAAGCCAGGGTGAAGAGGACTCTGGTCCAAGCACCAGCCCACTTAGGCAGAGCAGACTGCGACTCCTGCCAGCCCCTGGAGGAGGGGGCGGGGACTTCCTGGGAATGTCCTGGGAAATCAAATGGATGCTGACGCTGGTTTCTGGAAACATGGGGAACCGTTCGGTTGAGATGACGTTAATGAACTGGAGGGCTGGCGAGAGCACGGTGGTGAAGGCCAGGGTGCCATTTCCGGCACCATGCACGGTGCCCTGAGCACCGCCAGGAGGGATCCCTGAGCACAGAGCCAGGAGTCCTGAGCACTCTCGGGGGTGGTCCTCCCCGTAGGAAAGCAATAAAAATGATTTAGTTGGAAACTTTAAAATGTCTCCTATACGGAACTAGAAGTACTTTCTGACGTTGCATGATGCGGGCACAACCCGTGGCTGGTGGGACCGGGCTTATGCTTCCAGGCGTAGCAGCCCCTGGGCCCCTGAGCCGAGGCTGCGTGCCGATGACTGTGAATGCTGTCTCTTTAAAAGATCTCCCAGGAGCCCGAGACACGGGTGCAAGAACTCCTAAAACCAAGTCTTGCCGACCGACTCGGGGCAAAAGCGTCAGGGGCCAAGGAGGCAGCTGGGAGGGCCGGCTGGAGGGCCGGCTGCCGGGCCCAGAACAGCCCCGAGAGCCAGCGGATGCGGCCCCCAAACAAAACCCAGGGCTGGGACACCTGCCGTGCCGGCAAGAGCACCAGCTCCATCCCTGGCATGGCACAGGCCCCCGAGCACCAAGCCTGGAGTACCCCTGAGCACTGCCAGGAATGGCCCCAAACGAAAACCGAAAGAACAAAAGAGCAGGGGCTCACTCCCGCCCTTTTTCACTGCTGGCAGATGTTCGCGGTCGTGTTTTGCTGAAACACGAAGCGTGGGCTGTTACGCCCGGGCCTACCGTGCCAGTCCTGGGCCCGTCTTGCTCTCGAGGAAACTCTGGGACAGGAGGACAGCAGCGAGTCAAAGCTGCCCGTCCCGCCAGCGCGAGAACATCTCGGCCAGCTGAGGGCGGCTGCAGGAGAGAAGCCAGGGCAAGGCAGAGGCTGAAAAGCAGCTTCGTTGTCTGTTCTTCTGGGCCACACCCAGCAGTGCTCAGGGCTCACTCCTGGCTGTGCTCAGAGACCACTCCTGGCGCTGCTCACGAAAGCAAGCGGGGCGCAACGAATCAAACCCGGGCTGGCTGTGTGCCAGGCAAGCGCCCTGCCTGCTGTGCGATCCCTCTACCCCCAAAGCAGCTGGCTTTCTGTTTCCACATTTTTGGGCCACGCCCAGTGGTGCTCAGGACTCACTCCCGGCTCTGCACTCAGGGATCACTCCTGGCAGGCTCCGGGGGCCATAGGAGGGGGTTGGCCGCACTCGAGGCAGGAGCCCCACCCGCATGCCACCGCCCGGGCCCCAAGCAGCTCCTTATCAGGCCTTCTGGCAGATGTCCCGTGGACTCTCTGCTATGCCTTCCCCAAACCCCGAAAGGCAGAATTCAGGACTTGAATTCAAAATGACCTTCTCTGAGAGTCCCCAGCACCAACGTCAAGGCACGTACCGATACAGATCTGACTCGAGTAGCGTGAGCTGCCGAGCAATCTCTATCGGGTGTAGGGTGAGCAGGTCGAAGTTCTCCACTTGCCCGGGTCTGCTCAAGTGCCACTCCACGGGGGGAGGGGAGCTCTGAAATGTGATGTTATGGCCCGGTCCACTGTCTCTTGCGATCTTTTTCCTTTGGATTATCTTAGTGATGGATTCAACCCACTTTTTCATCGCTTTACCTAAAACCACATTAAACATGACATTTAAGTACCAGTATACCGAATATTTCATTTTAGAAACAGCTTAAGGACGGTGGAGACAGTTCAGGGCTAGGGACCCACGGGGTGCATGAGTAAGAGCTTGCGTTTGACCCCTGGGTACTGTGCGGTCCCTCGCCAAGCACTGCCCAGTGCGGCCTATGGCGCCTGGCACCCCTGGGCTTCAGCACTACCGTAGCACCCCGAGCGGCCCCAGGCCCCTTGAGAACTGTTTGGGAGACTCTCCCAAGAAACAGCTTAAAATCATAAAACTTATACTTGAAAATAGCTCTGCCAGAAAAAGTGTTCAGATCTTTGCTGAAAACAAAAAAGATCGAATTCAAAATTAAAAATGGACTGTTGGGCAGAGCAACAGTAGAGGAGGAGGGCATCTGCCTTGCGTAGAGCCGACCCGGGTCTGATCCCCGGCGTCCCACAGGGTCCTCTGAGCACGGCCAGGAGTGAGCCCTGAGCATCACCGGGTATTGTGCACCCCCCCCCCCCCCCCCCCGGGCAAAGGAATCCCCCTAGTTCCCTTTCACTGTTTCCCTCTCATGCGCCCCAAGCTCATTCTTGACCAACGGGCAGCCACTACGGTTAGACTGGGACATATTCTTCGTAACCTTGCTGATTTGTTCTTCTGGTGTCAGGGGTCAAGCCCATTACTTCAAACATGGAAGTACTTCGCTTGACCACTGAGCTACATCCCTGGTTCCGGGTAGGTAGAGATTCTCGGTAGAGATTTTTCATCCTGACAATTCTAGATTTCAACGGAAAACACTGTTTTATATTCATCCATATCCCCCCCGCCACCAAAAGAGAAATCTTTTGTTTTCTTCTAAAAGCAGCCAGTGGTGCTGAGAACTGCTCCCCTCACAGTGCGCAGGGACCCACACAGTGCAGGACAGGCCCAGTGAGCTACAGCAAGGCAGGTGCACGAGACCCCATCCCAGGGCTCCCCAAGACAGACCCTGCCTAGCGTGGCTCTAGGGGCCACACGTGCTGGTGCTCAAGGGCCGTTCCCAGCTTAGATGTCCTTCCTGGGGTGCTGGAGGCCGCCGCAGAGCGTGAGTCCCGGGCGCTGTGGCCCAGTCACTGTCAGTCTGACCAGCGCTGCGTCCCCCCAGTGATTCCCTCGCTGCAGTGTCTGTGGTGACGGCACTTCAGTCGAACCCTTTACTCTCCGGGTTGTATTCCATCACGGAGCTCAAAGGAAGAGAGCGGCCCAGTCACAGGGCCTTGAGTGGTGGCCAGGGGAATCTGGGAGACCCGGCTCGCGAGGGGACAGGCCCAGGAAGGGGGGCTTTTGCCCCCGGTGGGAGACAGCACCCAGTAGAATCCTTCTGCTTCTAGAAGGCCCTCCGGCCTCTGAGGGTGCCCCCCGCACTGAACTTGGGCTGCTCCCAATCGCTGGTACCTGCGACGAGCCCAGGAGTCCTCGCTGTCCCCTAAGCAGGCCAAGACTTTTTAAAGTCTGAAATAATCAAGCTGAGTACTACATGAAACTACATCAGAACAACAGGTGCTATCAACAATTTCTAGGCAAAAAAAATGTTTGCCAATTAAAAAAACTGATTTCCAAATGGCCACGCTATTGTAAATACCACACTAAGCGCTAACGGCCTATGCCAAGCTATTTCACAGAACAGGCGCTCGCCAACGTACCTCTGACTGTCCCAATGAATTCTTCCATTCGTTGCAAGAGGTCTGCATCTCTCTCAAAATCATAGAAGTGGTGCTCTACCCAGTGTCGACAGACATTTAATACTCTGGCATGGACACGAGAATAACTAAGTTACATACATGGTAACGCACACATAAATGTTCACAATGCGTGGCACAAGTGAAGGCGGAAACTCGTCAAATCTGATCCATTCCTTCCACTTTCAAAATCCTGCTAAGACCGACAGTACTTGCTAACTCTTGTTTCACACCCTTTGCCGGCACCCCCTTCCTCGTGAGGGCTCCTTCGGCAGCTCCGCCTCGAGACAAAGGCGCACCGAGGCCGCGTTCCCGCCTCTCGCTTACCGCAGCTGGACAGGCTGGATGTATTCTTTCCTAAACCTTTTCAGCTCTGCACTCAGGGGCTGATCTCCGTTTTCTATAGCGATGCGATCAGCTTCCGTTGGCTCAGGCTCTGGAATTTCAAACCTAACACAGAACAGAACAAACGAGTCACGTACCAATTGGATAAGCATACAAATAAAAACCACCAAGTCCACTGAGTTCAACCGAGGCAGTTCTGTAAAGAATTCCTGAAGGCAGCAGAGGCTGGAGAGCGCAAGCCTGCACGCGGGCAGCCGGCGCGACCCCGAGCACAGAGCCGGGAGGAACCCCGTACCCGCCGGCGAAACAGAGACCAGACAAAATGCCACCATATACAACAGAGAGCACGAGTGAGGCTTCTCTAAGGAAAAATTCATGATCCTGTAATTTTTCAAAAGAAGCTGACTTGTCGACCAATCAAACTAGCCAGAAACATTGTAAAATTCAGGAAGACATGCAAAGTGAAAAATTACTGCTCATAAGGTTATGAGGTTGATGTTGACTTCTGACTTGCACGATTACGCTTCAGTCAGCTAATATAATTTCTAAGGCTAATGTTTGAAAAGTTAACTCTTCTTTGGGTGGACAAAACACTTTTCCTCTGGGACTAGAGAAATAGCACAGCGGGTAGGGCGTTTGCCTTGCACGCGGCCGACCCAGGTTCTATTCCCAGCATCTCATATGGTCCCCCGGGCACCGCCAGGAGTAATTCCTGAGTGCAGAGCCAGGAGGAACCCCTGTGCGTCGCCGGGTGTGACCCAAAAAGCAAAAAAAATAAAAAAAAAAAACCAAAAAAACCACTTTTCCTCAATTATAGTATTTGTTTACTGATAAAAGTTTTCCTGAATGTGCTGAATGCGGTATATACAATGATCTTCATTTAGTTATCAAATGGAAGTTATTAAATAAAACACTTAAAGCGAAGGTTCCCAAACTTATCTGGCCTACAGCCCCCTTTTAAGAAAAAGATCCACTAGGTACCCCCGGGAAATCTATCATTTAAGGCAAATAAAATGTATCCCTCACATTCACCAAAGGATGCCACTGTCCCGTGAATCGTCTAGTGCCCATCATCCTCTTTAGGAAACACAGATCTAAAATCATCCAGCGGGTTGGGCATTTGCAGGTTCGATCTCCAGCATCCCATATGGTTTCCCCAGCACTGCCAGGAGTAACCCATGGGCATGGAAGGGTGTGACCCAAAAAGCCAAAATAAAAAATCGAAATCATATCATCCAGGGGCCAGAGAGATACTACGGGAAGGTGCCAATCTGGGTTTGATCCCTGGCACCCCGTATGGCACCCAAGCCCTGCCAGGAATGATCCCTGAGTGCTGAGTCAGGAGTAAGCTCTGAGTACGGCCCTCAAACAAAACAAATACCAAGAAGTCATCTAAATTCGAATTCCAGAGACTACATGCTACATTTTATATAGTTCTTTAACCTGACTTATTAAATTTGAAATTTTACTTTCTGAGTTTCCATATGAAAAAAAAAAAAGAATGCTTATTTTTATCTTCAATCAAAGCTAACATTAATATAGGTCACTTAAAAGACTTTAGTTCACAAGAAAGTTCTTATCAGCTAGAATTTAAAGCTCATCCATTACATGAGGAACGAGGGAGGCGAGCCCGATCTCCTTTAGAAAAAGATGAAAACATTTTAAATTGCCAACCTTTCTATTATAAGACTCAGGAGTTCTTGAGGTTTACAAAATGATCTGTATGTTGTAAGAAACGTCCGAACAAAATTGGGATCTAAAAAGAAAAAGAAAAAGTCATTAAGATCTCGAAGTTTGGTATGATTATTAAAATGATTTTTCAAAAGAGATCAAATAATCCATTTTCAATGCCCTAAAACGTTTTGGCCACAAGGAGCGGCTTTGAAACGAACTGCTGTTTTTAAGGAAGCCAGTGGCGAGACCCAAACCCCGAAGAGTACAATTTCATACCAAGTTACGTCTTGATGCCTGCTTACTCTGCTCAGCTGATCACAGTATGGACTCAGACCACAGGAACTTGCAGGAAGAGTAAGGCTGAGCCTGGAAGCCGGCTCCCACCTGCTACCCATGAGCGTGTGCACGGCCACTTCCCTGGGGGCAGGAGGCCTCAGCAGTGCCCCGTGGCCTTTGGCCTTCCGTAGCACCTGGCTGGTTTCCCAGGGCCAGGCGTCTCCTCCTCCTCTTCTGACCTTTCTGAGGTGCGGGGGATTGAGCTCAGAGCCTCACGCATCCTAGGCATGTCTCTCCCAGCGCGTCCCATCCCTGTACCTTTCCTCTTTCTGTGAATCTATTTCTTGTCTACTGAGAGAGCTGCGACTAGAAGATAGATCTTACAGTGCTGTAGGTAAGTGAAACACCGTTTCGAATACTCCAGCCTGGTTCTGGTGACAGCTTTGAACCCCTTTCTCACGTGACCATGGGAGTTGGCATCTCCGATCTCTCCCCGCACCTACTTTCGTCCGTCTCTCCATCCTGCCAGGCCCGGCCTGCTCGCCCCTCCCCCAAGCAGTCAAGTCACCCTCCCAGAGGGGAGAAGGGCTGCAGCCTTCTCTTTAGGAAGGGGAAGAGGAAGCGTCCCAGAATGGGAAAAAGATTCTTTAGGTGATGCAAATGTCATCAAGGTATGCATTTACTTGTTTAGTAACTTGAGTTTTTAAGAGCCTCTTTTTTCACATTATGGAGTAATTTGACGATAAACGTACTGAGAACAGCAAGTCCTTTTATTTTGTTAGTTGCACACCATGAATCTTTCATAAGAAATATAATGTCTTTTATTAACACAGGGTTTAGCAAGATTCAGAACTCGCTTCTTTGGAAAATCTTTTAGCTGATTCTGTCTGGTTCAGAGGCACTCTAAATTTAGCACTGAAGAGCTACATTGCATTTCTCCTCAAAAAAAAAAAAAGTTCATGGATTTATCATAAAATAAAAATAATCAAGACAATGAATTAAATATCAGACAACCTTGCACTTAAAATACACTGAAAGAAAAATGTTACATGATAAAAATATATCATATATATTTTAACGCCCCCCCCCTTTTTATTATAATACCTTCTAAGGCTTAAGTGGGTTACTGATAAAAATAATTGAAATACAACAATCGTTGAGTAATTTCCTCTCTGTTGGTATTTTATTGTCTGTCCTCAGTTCCAGAGATCCTCAAACGTTAAAGGCCAATGTCTCATCCAGAAGAAAAGATTTTAAAACAGAAGGTTGTACGAGATTTTAGAAACAGAGATTTATATCGGTTTCATCACAACCCTCTCTTTCAAGAATCTTCTTCCTGTTCTGCAAACCTATCTGTAAGGTGAGGCCGCTCAAAACATCCCGTGTCTTAGGAAGCAAAAGCAGTGTCCACGCAGAAATGCTAAGTGGTCACGCTGGACAGCCCAGAGCCTTTGCAGGCAGAGTGCTGAGTAGCCTGGGCCCTGCTCCAAGTTGAGGGCGGCCCCTTCTTTTCTTAAAGGAAACTTCCCATGCTCCAAGTCTAAAATCAACATCCAGATCCACTTCAAATGCCACCTAAGTCAGGCTAAAAAACTGTGAGAAATCAAAAGTCAGTTTAAGCCGAAAAACAGAATAAAAGAAAAGTCCTTACGAATCAAAGTCTGTTTCAAGAAAACGGTCCACTTATAAAGGCAAATGTTTTGAAACAATTTTCTCTTTTCATCTTAAATCAAAACTCGTGGCCATTTCAGGACTGCAGTTTGCGGTGACAGGGCCCCTGCATGGGACAGGGGCCACCGTTCCTGACGCGTGCTAAGCTGTCACACAGCTGGTTCTCCAGGACATCCACGAAGGGAGTAGGCTGGTGGTCGGCTTCCCTCTCAGCGGAGTGTCTAGACTACCTGGGTGGCAGAGACGGAGCGGAATCCTGATCTCTTCTCCAGGGCGTCCCAGAACCCTGCTGCGTGCAGGGTCCAGGTGCCCCAGGTGTGGGATCTCAAGAAGCAATCTGAGTGATGTCACCACCATAGAATTTTACGGCTCGTCTCGGTTAAAGGACTAGAAAGCCACTGAAAAATCAGCCGTCGACCTGTGACTCTGTGACTCTTGTTAGGCTCCCTTCCCGCTGCGAGGAAGGCGTAGCTGTCCCTTTCTGCACGCTGTACCCAGAAGAGCAGTTTCTGGAGTCGTGGTGAAATAAACTCCCGTTACCATCACTGTGTATTTCTAAAATGACTCAAGTTTAAGTTGTTTTTAGCGGAAATGAGGATATTCTTGCCAAAAAGAGAGAAATAGCAGAAGCTGAAAATAAACCAAGAAAATCTGGCAAAGTTTAAGTGCTTTCAAAAAAATATCTTGAATGCTGATTTACACATTCCCAAGACTGTAGTGATCGACTTTACTTTTAGTCTAAAATGGTGGAAATTGCTAATGAATGAAATAGTTTTATAGTAAGAGAAGACATCACATCTACATTGAAATCTCACACAGAAAAGAGGTTAACATATTCCAGAAAGTATTTTTATCTCTACTGACTTCCCCACTTCAGTGGCTATGAGAGACCAGGACACACTAATCAAGGGAGACCTTCATCAGGTTAACCTAATTCGGTATTTTTAAAATATCCAGTAGGTATTTTTAAAATTTCATATAAAGAGGTCATAAAATTCTGTAAGAGAACAACACACTTTCTTACCTTGCTATAATAAAAGCCCGTTTTCCACTGCCCCGTTGGCCGTGGACATACAGGTATCTACCTATGTTATAAAATGTTCTACAATGTCACCTCAAAAAAAGGTAAAATTTTACAGATGGCAAAAGCTGCAGACACAGAAGCCAGGTTGGCTTTGGTTTTTATTTTTGCTTTTTGGGTCACACCTGGCCATGCACAGGGGTTACTCCTGGCTCTGAACTCAGGAATCACTCCTGGCGGTGCTCGGGGGACCCTATGGGATGCTGGGAATCGAACCTGGGTCGGCCGCGTGCAAGGCAAACGCCCTCCCCGCTCTGCTCCAGCCCTGGCTTTGGTTTTTAAAGCACAAACAACAGGAGAAAAGGGAGAGACTGAGATTCTCCTCCTCGTGGAAGGAGCTCTCTTCGAAAAGGTGCTTAATCGAACTCAGTACGAGCAGCACCAGGAATTTCCTTTCGGCCTTTGCCCTCCCCATTGCAAGTCGCGTGCTCCTCTCCTCGGCGACAAACATTCCCATCACCATCACGGGCATCGGCTGCTGCTCCAGAGCTCCCCACACAAACCCTCCCCAGCTCCACCTGCCCCTCCACTCGGAAACCGTTGTCCGACAATGTTTTATCGCAAGATTCTTCAGGATCTTCGGGACTTGGGGGTGAGAGAGAGAGCAGTGGGCACAGCATCCGCCTTGCACGTGGCCAACCTGGGTTCGATCCCCGGCATCCCAAGGTCCCTCTGAGCACTGCTGGGTGTGGTCCCAAATCCAGAGAACAAAAGAATTTGAGGAGTTTACTTTAAAACTTGTTCAGAATATAGATTTGAGGTGAAAAAGAGAACCCATTTTTTCTCTATTTTGATGGCTCTCTGACGTTGTATTTGCCAAGGTCCGTGACACTCATGGAATATGCGTCCAGTGGAAAGTTATTTATGTAAAGAGCCCCCCTCCTCCAGGGCTGCCGGTCCACGGGATAATTCCCCTTTAATGCAGCCATTTAAAACGCCATGAGAAACAATACACTCCTCAGCAAGGGTTTATAAACAATCACTCTTGAATTCCTTCACAAAGGAAACAGACACTATGCTGACGCACAAACACTTAAAAAAAAATCAGAGAGTTTAAAAATAGAACAGCGCTGGCCTATAGATCAAAAACTGTTCAAAAGAGTTCTCAAAAGTTAAAACATCCAAACTAAACTTTATATAGGACACAGACTTGAAAGACATCTAATTACAGTTTTTGAGGATCTTTCCTTATGAAAGTGAAACAGCAGCCTGATGAAAACTTCAAGACAATTTTTTTTCAATAAAAGACGTCCATGCATGGGAAAAACCCCCTTTCCCCAGACTTGAATATCAAAGTATTTTATTTCCCTATTATTCAGTTCTGACTTTTTAATCCCACCCTGGAGGACACTTCACTTTTCTAAAACAGTCTCTATCAATCCAGACAAGCCACCAACCCCCCTTTTATATTCCTGGCTCAATCCGTCAGCTGTCTCTGTATTTCCTAGAGGTGAGCAGAGGTGACTCTTGGGCACGTCACCTGTGACTTTGGTCCGCAAAGTCGCTTTCGGTGCCTGCCAGCCAGGAGCGAGCTCTGGGCCACGTCCTCCCCAGGGGCCTTTCAGATGGATTCTAAAGTGCGATACACACACACTCACCCAGAGCTTATTAAAAATGAATTAAAACAGATGTTTATTTTAGTTAGAATTTATTATTGGTCAATTAAAAATCACTGATTATATTTTTATAGTAGACCTGCATTTGCCAGGAAATAAACAGCCGTTTATACTACTATTAATTTTTAAAGGAAGTAATTCTCTAATTTTTATTATTCAACACACATAATATATTCCAAGAATAGAAAAAAGATCAGCTTGCACGAGACTCAGTGTGACATGATGGAAAAAGTATATTCTTGGGATCAAAACCCTTCCCTTCTAGTCATCACTCTGCAACTAAGCAATGATATGTCTGATTCCTAACAAATCACAGTGCTTTTTTCCCTTGGGATTTTTTTTTCCTTAGAGGTACTGGGATCCAGCTCTCACAGCAGGACAAACGCTCTACTGCGAGCTGGGCTGTATCCCGGGCTCTTGACCTTTGAGTTTTTGTAAAGTGAAGGATTCGGGTATCTTGTTTATCACGAGTGATTCATGGCAGCTTCATGAGTGACTTCATAAACAATTGTTAAGACACTTCAAGGAAGGAAGGCAGTTGAAGGCACTGTGGATCTAAATTAAGTTTAACCTACTTCTCTTGGGTCCTCATTCTTAGGACACTATCTGACCAGTACAGTCCATAAAGTGTTAGTGTTTAACTGTTAAATGTTTTAGGGGGAGGCGGGCTGGGCCATACCTGCCCATGCTCAGGGCTTACTCCTGGCTCGGTACTTAGGAATCACCTCTGAGGGTGTCCGGGGGACCATATGGGACGCCAGGGATCGAACCCGGGTTGGCTGCATGTAAGGCAAGTGCCTTGCCTGCTGGATTATCTCTTCGGCCCCTTCAATTTTATTATGTTTCCTAGCCAGTCACTTTTATTATGATTTTATATAATAAAAATGTGTAGGCAAAGCTTTTTGTTTCAGTGTAAACCAAATCCGACGTTGCACGTTCTCTGAAAGTACACACCTACGGAGTAGGTGAACTGGGGGGGTGGGACCCATAGACCAAGTATTCTTAAACAAACGATAACCTGGTCTTTACACGGCAGGGAAGGCTGAGGGCTGCGTCTATCGGATTGTTCAGAGACTTGGAGGGTAACTGCTCGGCCAGAGAGAAAAGAGTGTGGCCCTGTAACGTAGCTGACTCCGGTTTGAGTCTGTGGTACCCAGCACTGCCAGGGTCTTTCCCTGCAGAGCCAGAAACACCCCTGAGAAGTGCTGGGTGAAACCCCAAACAACAAAATATATATAAACACACAACATACATACGCCTCTTTGACATTTTATAAGTTCACAGATGTTCTATTAAAAATTCTATTACCGGTAATACTTTCAGAGGCAGAGCTTACAGACAAACTCAAATAAACTAATATTTAAAACACACAAAAGAGCTGTTTGTGGATTCTAGTAGCACTGGTAATGCACGCATGGCATTAAGTTAAAGTATTCATTTGAGCACTACTGACTTGTTTTAACTCACCAGGTAAAAGGTAAAGGTAAAGGTAAAGGCCCTCCCGTTGATCGTCGATTTGCTCGAGCGGGCCCAGTAACGTCTCCATTGGAGACTTTGTTGTTACTGTGTCTGGCATATCGAATACTCTCGGTAGCTTGCCGGGCTCTCCGAGAGGGGCGGAGGAATCGAACTCGGGTCGGCCATGTTGGCCGCTTGTAAGGCGAACGCCCTACCCGCTGTGCTATCGCTCCAGCCAGGTAAAAGAAGATGAAAAAACTAGAATTAATATTTTTAAAACCAACACTGGCATTTTCTTCCTCAAGAAAGGAGAATTTTAAAAAACTTTCAACTTTTTGATTAAAAAAAAAATCTCATTAGTTTCAATGTGAACACACCTAACTTTGAAAGTCCTGTAAGTCTAGAGTTTGAAGTTTTACATGAACTAGAAGTCGAGTCATTTAAAACAGGATTCTGTTCAAAAGCTGGAACAATGTATCAAAGTACCAATAAAACACCAAGACAATACAACAGTATTGTGTACATCAAGGGAAAAGATTGTCAGGGCCACAGAAAAGCAGTTTTATGTGTTAAAAAGATGAAAATCACCGCCCAATTCCTATTTTTGTTTTAAAGTATCTTTAGTAAATAATAAAGCAGTTCCCTAGAAAAGAAATACGTAACTGCAGCTGTGCAACAGTTTACTGAAATTTTAAGTTAGTTCTTAAAGTCCCGAAGTATAAATAAACCCAGAAGCTTGAAGGCACTTTCTATCACCAACAGTGGAATTCGGGAGAAGGAATGGAGTTTGGAAACATCTTCCAAGCGCTTGTGACCGACTTGGGATGTTTCACACTAATAACTCTTTGTCACTGTTGGCAACTTTGCAGGATAGAACTGTACCTCTTCTCTCCTACAAGTACAGGTTTTTAAAAAAAATCCTGACTATTGGAGGCAGGAGAGACAGCACAGCAGGCAGGGCACTGGACGCGCACAAGGTCAACCCAGGCTCGATTCCCTGAACCCCATCAGGCTCCCCGAAATTATGGGATGATCCCGAATTGCAGAGCCGGGAGTAAGGCCTGAGCACCAGCCCTGACCATGACTGCCCCCAAACAGCCTAAGAAATAAGCTAAAAACGCAAAAACCAGGTGTTTTCAATTAAACAGTGAAAAGTTAACGCTTACGCTCAATCTGCCGATTTCTAAGAAACACAAAAATAAGAACATGGCTAGAATATTCTGAACTTTCTGTCAAAAACACATTAAGAGCCACCAAATCCTTTCAGTAATCACAAACTTGGGGTGATTAAAAACCATTTTTGCAGCTAAATGATGGCTTTTAAAGAGTAACCTGAAGTCGATAAAGATCCGCTAAATAGGTAATTGAAATTAAAGAAAATTTTATCTCTTAAAAATTCTACATTTGGGGCTGGAGTGATCGCAAAGCTGGTAGGGCATCTGCCTTGCACAAAGCCGACCCGGGGTTCAATTCCCAGCATCCCATATGGTCCCCCGGGCACCGTCAGGGGTAATTCCTGAATGCATGAGCCAGGAGTAACCCCTGTGCCTCACCGGGTGTGACCCAAAAAGAAAAAAAAATTCTACATTATTATCTTTTCATTTTTCATGTAAAATCCTAGGAAGTTCTTTAAAATTTCCTGCAATCTATTGGACTCTCAACTCAGTAAAATGAATACACAGATTGCAGAACTGTCTAGGTAAAAGGCCTACAAATGAAATTCTTTCACTATATTAAACTGTGAAAAAAAAAAAAAAACCCCAAAACCCAAAACCAAAAACTCTGTTCCAATCACCAAAGGCTACTATCACATGGCATGAGGCAAAGGATCCCTCTGCTTTAAAATTAACCTATGGACAATGCTATTATTTTTATTAAATTTTATTTTTTACAGTGCTATTATTTTAGTATAGAAAAGGTTAGCCAAGGAACAGGCAAAAAAAAAAAAAATTAAAACTCTAGCTTACTTGTCTCAAAGACAAAAATAATGGAGATAATGAGTGAAAATCATGAAAGACTACATTTATTAAGCACTTTGATATCACTTAGAAAAACTAACTAAAGGTTACTATCTTTCAAAGTGGAAACTGTCATAATTCCAGGCCATATAAGTAGTCCCGATGGGATATCAAATAAACCAGACTCCCACTACTGACGATCTCTGTCTCTGTTAAGTGCACTTGCTAACAGGTATCTATAATGCTTCTGAAGTCCCCTGCAGGGCGGACCAAGGGCCCAAAGACCTCAAATAAACCGAAGAAAAATCTCCTCGGAAATACACATCGAGAAGTATGAATGCACGAGGAAGTCCGTGTTTGCATCCGACCGTTTCAGAGCAGTTCAGGGACGAGGGGTGGCGGAATAAAAACATCCCTTAGGAATAACTTGACATTCGTGTCCACACCCAGAGCTCCATCCCATTGCCCTTGTCCGGACATGAGAGGGAGGGAGGCCGCTGTGGCACGGAGGCTCCGCAGGCTGACGGAGCCTTCCCGACAACACCAGCCCCCCGCCCTACCAGCCCAGGGAGGCCGACGGGGGGGAAGGCTGGGCTCGTTACTTGACCGGAAGAAATAAAATTGTGGGGGAGAAAAGATTCATCATATTTGCTCCCGCTTTTTCGTACTAGGTTCCGCCCAGAGTGATCTCCCCGAGGAGGTGTGGCTATATTTGTCTCTGAAACTGCCCAGCTGAGATGAGATTATTTTCTTAAATAATACCAGTTGGAAAAAAGCAAACAGACACAAGGTAAAAGAACGCAAATTAAGAAAAAACCATGTCAATTTGCACTAGCAGGAGAGTCGTCCTGAGTGTACTGAAACTGCTCACCTACAATCTCCATCACGGAAAGAGAAGGAAAGAGGTGCCGGTGGGTCTCGAGACGCCAAGAATGAACCGTTACGACTTTTAGTCTGTTCCTGTCACTTTCTCACTGGCTATAAAGGTGAAAACGGTTCATGTAAACTGGGAAGGCAAAGGCTAAAAATTCAAAGGCTCCACACTGGCAGTATTTTTAGTCAAAGGAAAAGGCACTGTGACGCTGCAGAGTCTTTGTGAGCTGCTTTCTATTTTGGTCACAGTGATCCGGCCGGGGGTGGCAGGGCCGGGCGCCGCTTACCTGCATACATGTGGTACGTGAGCCTCTCGATTAGCTTGATCACCGTTCCCGCTTTGATGATGGGAATCCCAGCCTTGGGCTGCATGTTCTCCTCGAACAGAATGTTCTCCTCGGAGTCGGGCTCCGCGAACCTGTACAGGTCGGCGCTGGGCAGCCGCATCTGCCCCCCCTTCTCCTCCTGCAGCGCGGCCGCGTCCAGCATCCGCTCCAGGGTGCTTCGGTACTGCAGCGATGTCAAGGCTGCCATCCAATTGTTCTTCTCTTCAGCTGACTTGGCAGAGAATATAACACTGTTTTCATCTTTTAGAATAATCTCAAAAGCATGCTTGTACTCACTGGTGTCATCTTTGTCATTGATTTGTACCTTTCTCATGAAAAACTTTTCTTTGAGACGGTACTCGGCATTGCTAGCACCAGGAAGGCGGGGCTGCCCGTGGTTCGACCTGCAGCAGATCATTAAGCCGTCAAAGAGGAAAATGTGTCTCTCGTGCTTGGCCCCCACCCGCGAGAGCGTCCCCTCCATGATGAACTCGTTGCAGCACTGCCCGATGTCCTTGCCCTCCCAGCCGTCAATGTTCTTCTGGATCTCGTTCATCTTCTTGATGGCCAGCTGCTTCCCCTTCATCTGCTGGCTATAAAACCGGCACGCGGACTCGCTGGGAGGAAGGGAGAGCATTGTTACTGTCAGATGCCGGAGAAGCCCGTCTGAGGGGCGACAATTGCAAGCCCACTTAAAACAATCGCGCTAGACCACAGGCACCAATCCTCAAGTGCATTAGCAGTAAGGCTACAGAATTTTGGAAACTCAAGCAACAGCAGAGACTTCTACCGGGGACGCGTTTAAAAGAAGAGACTCACCCGAGAACTTAAAAGGCAGCTACAGGGTGATTATTTCTACCTTGCTACTAAATATTTACAAAGACAAACGCTTAAAAGTACCCCGATCTAGGGAAATTTTAAAGAGTATTCTAACAGGTTCTAGAAAGCACGTAGATATGGGCAAGAGGCCAACCAAGAGGCAGACACAGACTGAAACTAGGGGCTGGAGAAGGGCACCGGGACCCAGGCCCGAGTTCTGCGACCTCTGAACAGGCGGGGCCCCTGGGCGCCAGAAACCTGCCCGGCCTGGCTCTCTCCTCCAGCTTACCCGTTCCTCTCAGGAGGTCTTGTCTGGGAGTGTGCAAGGAAAATGCACAAATATGAAAGGTTTTTCAAACAATAACAAATTCTCTCGGCTTTGATGTCACTTCCTTTGAAAGACCAAGCTTGTCACTAACACGATTTTCTTCATTGTTTACTTGAGGGAACTGGGAGCCCAGAAGGTCTAATTTCAAGGTGGAAAAGGAAAACTCAGAAAGTGAAAATATTCACCTCAGTCTTCGTTTTGCAAGGCTTTTCGAACAGATTTTCTCCAAACCACTCTGCACATTTAGCAAAGCCGTTATTGCTTGTTTCAAGCATTCCTTGTCTTCTTGATCTTCACTTTTTTCTTCTAGCTGCTGCAAAGTCAAAATGACAAATTTGAAACCAGCATGGTAACAGTTTTGAACCAGAAAAAAAGTTCATTTTATTTTAGGATGAAAGACAACACATACATGACTCTTCTTAAGCCACTGTCTTTGTTTATCCCACCCACATCTACATGCGACCAAGGCCTCCAACTAATAAAAACGTAGAGGCAATGTTAAAACTACCTGGAAACGGGCAGTAACATGAAGCCTGTCAGATGCACGTGGCTGAGCGGTCAAGGTCACAAAGGATCTTTCCAGCACAGCTGTAGGCACATGAGGGGACACCCAGCTGTGCTCAGGATCTACTCCTGGCAGGGTAGAGGGTGGCGAGGAACGGAGGGAGGAAACGAGCACAGAGTGCTGGGAACGGAGCCCGGCAGGCGCGTGCAGTGGGCGCCTCAGCTTTGTGCTCTATCTCAGAGGCCCCGTGCAAGGCCCCTTCAGCTTTGTGCTCGCTCTCTGGTTCCAGAGGAGGAAAAAACCCTGTCCCCCCGCCCCCCCTCCCCATCCAAAGGTGCTCAGGGACCACTCCAACCCCCACGAGAAAATTCTGATGTATCTTTGATTTAGTGTGAGGTTCAGGCCCTGGACCTAGTCACCACTGGAAGCAAAGGGACGGGAAGGAAGACAAACAGGGGCCCTTACGGCAGTTCCCAGACTCCAAATTCCCTCCCCCCACGTGCCAGGTGAGGCTTATAAAAAGCCCGTTATCAAAAAGCGCAGCACTCTGGAAGCTGTAATTTACAGTGTAAGTTGCTTTCTTTTGTGGTTCTGGCCCCGTGCGAGCACATGTGCGTTATGTGAGCACAAACAGCTTGGGGGAGATAGGAACGCTCACGCATGTTGTCTATCAACTGTAGCTATGGCATGCATGCCAGCCAGAGTCTGCCCTGAACGGGAAGACATCGGTGACCGATCAGCAGTGTAGCAAGGCGACGGTGATCCAAAGAAGGGAATATATGAAAGGAACATTTAACCTTCTAAACCTTTCTCTGGTATCCAAAAAGGAAAAATTAAGAAACAAATGTTTACTCAAGAGCTTTCACACAACATTTAAGAACTTCTGCCATGCAAAGCAAGGACAAGAGCAGACAAGTAAAGCCGTACACTATTCAAAATAATTTATAAAGGTCTACTTTTCTGTTTTTTTTTTTTATGGGGGGGGGGCTCACAACTGGTGATGCACTCAGGAATCACTCCCGGCAGTGCTCAGGGGACCATATGGGATGCTGGGAATCGAACCTGGGTCGGCTGCGTGCGAGGCAAACACCCTCCCCGCTACGCTACCATTCCAGCCCCTGTCAAGGCCGACTTTTCAATTAGCTCCCTATTTTCTCAAATTGGAGTCTATCTCTGTCATTTAGCCTCTCCCCTCTCACAAGGCAGAATTACTGGAGACGAAATGCTACCTTTGACCTTACCTAGTTTAGGCTTCAAGAACTAAGATAATCTAAATTAAGAGCAAACAAGAAAAAAAAATTACAAGGTGTAATGAAAGCACCATTAACAAGTGAACTGTTTGTTTTGCAATTCAATTTATTGGGGGGGGGGGGCACATCAGGCTGTGCTCAGCATTTCCTCCTGGCTCTGGGCTCAAGAATGACTCCTGGTGGGGCTTGTGCGGCTGTTGTGATGTTGGCGACCGAGTCCGGGCAGGCCACATGCACAGCAAGCGCCTTACCCTCGTACCAGCTCTCCAGCCCTAATCTATTTTAGTTATCTTCGGCTTTTTAGCCACATGGTCTGTGCTGAGTACTCAGGCCGATTCGAACCCAGGTCAACGGGGCACGCAAGGCGAATTCAGTGCAAAACTCCTAGGAATTGCCTCAGGTCATTTTTCAATGTAATTTTGGGACTTCCTAGCTCCAGGCAGCCTCTGAAATCAATGTCAACGTCCTAAAGACCTTCCCTCTGAGCGTCCTTTGCCGGCTCCACTTGGCAGTAATCTAACCTGGGCCTGGGAGGAGGATGCCTTACACGCGGCTTCCCACATGGCGGCAGAAGCCACTGGCCGCAAACAGTGGCCACGCCAGCCCCTCGCTACCAGAGCGACAGCTGGTGCCATGTCCTTCATGGGTGTCTGCAGCAACGTGGGACAGTCGAGAACTTGCAGGGTTCAGTGTCAAAAAACTATCAACTCCTGAGATTTTTTCACTGACCACGAGACTGTATTTAAATGTGCCCCAGGAATTACATCCCAAAGCACCGTGAAGTCATGTGCTCAAGACGCAAAAAACGTACACTGCCTTTTTTAGAAGAGGCCACGCAGAGTGGGGGCGGGAACAGCTCCGGGTCCCACCCAGAGTGGGAGCGTGTGTCAAGCTGACGTCCTACACGGGGCGTGTGCTCTACACCTGAGTCACCCTTACCAGGGCCCACGCTGTCCTGTTCTAGAGAGCGGGCTGGGCCAGGGCCAGGGCACGGGGAGGGGACTGGCCTTGTACGCGCTGGTCCAGGTTCCACCCCAGGACCCTGAATGGTCCCCAGAGCACTGCAAAGGGTAATTCCTGAGCACTGCTGAGTATGGCCCCAAACCCAAAACTAAAAAAGAAACAGGCAGAAGGAGCCAGTGTACAACGGAACAGAATGTTTCAAGGAAGCCCTGCGGGAAGGGAGCGTGGGACTGAAGGCGCCGTGGAGTGGAAGGGACACGCAGCGGCTCTCTAGGAGGAACAGACGCTGCTACCGGTTAATTCCTAAGAAACAAAGCAGCCCCAGCGCAAAGTATACAGACGTAAGTCGAAATGTCTCTATCCATTCAGTGACCTCCCTTTGTTAAAAAGCAAAACAGAATAGATTTTTATTCCTACCCTAGCGTTAAAAGTATCATAAATCAGTGACACAGATCAAATTTTTTTTACTTCTAGAATTAGTCTTCTCCAATACAACAACTTTTTTTTTTTTTTAAACGAAGGAATTACCATTTACTGATGCAGAAGCAGGCAGGACTGGAATCCAGAATGATTCTCAGAACCAGGACCCAAGGAATTAAAAGGATTCTGAAACACCTGCTTTGCAAGTATTACTGCAATAAAACCTGTTCTTTTCTGGGAGGTAAGTTATGATGTCCTTACGATTTGGAACCAAAAAGAAAAACATGAGACATAAAAAAATATCACCGCTCAAGGGGCAAGCCGCCACCACATGTGTGTCTGACGTGGCGATGCACGCAGAGAACTCCACACAGCGCAGCACGTTTCGGCGCTGGATGGTTACTTGTCTGCTGTGTGATGAGATGCCACGGTCAGCCGCCACGTCGGGGATCACGGCCCAAGACTGAACTCCTGTCCCCGTCCGCTGACAGACGCTCGCAGTATCATCCAAACCATGCCAGAGAGCAACTCATGGAAACCGCAGCGCTGGACGCTTCTCTGTCCCCCCGAAATATCCCACAGGGTCAGTGCAAGAAAGGCAACGGCCGCTGGAAGCACGAGCCGTTCTTCTGGGGCAGGAAGCTGTCCTTTGTCAGGGTGGTCGGGTTTAATCGAGGCTACACCTGGCTCAAGTCTTGGGATGTAAATTCGAGTACTCTGAGGAAACAAGAAGCCAAACTCTCAAGATCTCTTAGAAAGGAAAAGCTTCCATTGAGAAGATCAAGTGTCTTAGGGAGGCTTCCGGGAGGAAGCTTGGAAGCGGATTCATCCCGGGAAAACAGGGGCAAAGGACGCGTGCAAAACTAGCCAGTGTGAACCCACGTGAGACCCCAGCTTAGCCCAGGCGCGAGAGGCTGGCGGCTGGAAAGATGCGACGGGTGAAGCTGTGAGACTCACTGTCAGGCTTAAGGATGGAACACACGCCGGGCAACACGGAGGTAGCAGGATCGATGCGGTCTTCCACCAGGACGCCTGTGACCCAGGGGCCTGTCCAGAACGGGAGGTGGCAGGGGAGACAGGCACAGCAAGAGATGATGGCCCAGGAGACGACCGTGCTCCACGGGACGGGCTCTAACGGGAGAGCAGGGGACGCGCAGAGAGGGAGCCCCTTCGGAATGGAAGGACCAGCTGCTCACCACGTGGCGGGGAGAGGAAGGAGGAGCGAGGAAGGGCTGTCCTGAGAGCAGATGGGCAGCGGGAGGACTCCCGGAGAGCAGAGGAAGTGCTCTGGGCGAGAGTGAAGGCTGCAGACAGCCGGTTCAAACCCTCACCTTGCCTCGCCCTCACCATGGAATCCTGTTGGCATCGTAGCACCCGTTTTGTGTTCAGATGAGCTCGAGCCCGTCCTTTGCACTCCTGCAGGCCTGACCCGGTAACCTGCCCACTCAGATGTGAACACAGAAAGTGCCAAGCTTCACCACACACTTTTTGTTTCCTTTTGGGCCACACCTGCAATGCTCAGGGGTTCCTCCTGGCTCTGCACTCAGGAATTACCCCTGGCGGTACTCAGGGGACCATCTGGGATGCTGGGAATCGAACCCGGGTTGGCCGTGTGGAAGGCAAACGCCCTCCCTGCTGTGTTACCTCTCCGGCCCCTTCACAGTACATTTAAAAATGGCATTTCCTGCGGCTCATGAGGCTGCCAGCTCTACTTAAGAGATCAGAGTTGGATCCTTTCTCCCTGAGGACTAAGGAAGAGAAACCATTCTGTGTTCAGACTCTCTATGAACCAGCCACCAAGCGAGGCCTCCGCTACGGAGGTTGAAGTGCTCTCGGCAACGAAGCAGCCCCACAGGCAAGGGGTCTCTTGGCCCCCGGCAGGGGTGCAGATTCTGTTTAAAATGACATCGGTTGACAAGACTGTGTGCTTTGCCCGGACAGGCTCCTGGTGCTCCCAATGGCTGTGACCATCCTATACACGGTATCTTGGCGCCATCGTGCCGGGTCTCTCCGTCGCTGACCGAGGCCCCCCGTCCTGAGCCACAGTCCTGCGGTCAGTAAACGAGGGTCAGTCTTAGGAGTTGTCTCCTGATGGTCTGCTTCCAACGAAAACCGCATCGCCTGCCTCTCTCTGGTCTTACTCTCCCAAACATAATCCCCTTCAGTTCCATTCAC